AATAGAATAGAAAATATGGAATAGAATAGACTAGAATTACAGAACAGAATAGAATAGAATAGAATAATAGAATAGAATAGAATAGAATTAGAACAGAATAGGATAGAATTACAGAATAGAATAGAATAGAATAGAATAGAATAGAATAGAATTACAGAATGAATAGAATAATAAATTGTGGAATAGAATAGAAAGAATAGAATAGAATAGAATAGAATAGAATAGAATAGAATAGAATTACAGACGACTAGACTAGACTAGACTAGATTAGACTAGAATAGAATAGAATTACAGACTAGACTAGAATAGAATAGAATTAGAAGAATAGAATAGAATTAGAATAGAATAGGATAGAATTACAGAATAGAATAGAATAGAATTACAGAATAGAATAGAATAGAATAATAAATTATGGAATAGAATAGAAATAAGAATAGAATAGAATAGAATAATAGAATAGAATAGAATAGAATAATAGAATAGAACAGAATTAGAATAGGATAGGATAGGATAGAATTACAGAATAGAATAGTATAGAATTACAGAATAGAATAGAATAATAAATTATGGAATAGAATAGAAATAAGAATAGAATAGAATAGAATAATAGAATAGAATAGAATAATAGAATAGAACAGAATTAGAATAGGATAGGATAGGATAGGATAGAATTACAGAATAGAATAGTATAGAATTACAGAATAGAATAGAATAATAAATTATGGAATAGAATAGAATAGAAATAAGAATAGAATAGAAATAAGAATAGAATAGAATAGAATTACAGAATAGATAGACTAGACTAGAATAAAATAGAATAGAATTGAATTAGAATAATAGAATAGAATTAGAACATAACATAACATACCAGAACAGAACAGAACAGAATAGAATAGAATTACAGAATAGAATAATAGGATAGGATAGGATAATTCTCCTCCTCCTCCTCCTCCTCCTCCTCACCCCCTCCTCCTCCTCTCCACAACCCCCACTCCCTTGTAGCACTGATGATGTTCCCTAGTTGGGTCCTGAAATGTCTGCAAGAAACCCCCCCTCCCAACTGAGAGAGCCCTTTAGGACCCCCACAGTTCAACCGTGGGCTACACCCGTGTTTCTCAACCATTGCTGGTTGTGGAATTCTGGGAGTTGAAGTCCACATGCCTTAAAATTGTCAAGTTTGGGAAACATCGAGCTACACCTATTCTCCGTTCCCACCTTCTCCGCTGTCCAGCCAGCGTTAGGGAAGAGGGAGCCGTTCACAAGGAGAGAGTTATTTTCGTCTGGTTGGTATCAAGGCTGGGGTAAAATAAGACAGATTAACTCCTTAAATCCCTCTGGAAGGATTCTCATTTACCCAAGCTCATTTAGAAGGTGGGTCAGGCGCTATTTAAAAGTAGACCGAGCCTTTACTACTAAGCAGGAACCCGCAGAATCTAAGCAAGACAAGTTATCTGATTTTACCCCGTTTTCTGCCCTGGCTGGGAAGCGAATCGTAAGGTCTTTAGGGTGTTCATCAGAAATTATTTAACGAGGAATTAATAACTGTCCGTTAAATACATCATAATTGTAACTCAAAATAGATAAAAGGATTGTGGAATTCACAATGAAGGAATATTAAAATGATTAAGGAATTAAGAAACGTCCTAACCGTGAGGCCAATGAACCAGTGGAACAGCTTGCCACCAGAAGTTGGCCGTCACTGGAGGCTTTCAAGGAGAGACTGGACAGCCATTTGGCTGAAATGGTGCAGGGTCTGCTGCTTGAGGGGGGTGGACTAGAAGACCTCCAAGGTCCTCTCTATCTGTTATTCTGTTATCCTTCCTTCCTTCCTTCCTTCCTTCCTTCCTTCCTTCCTTCCTTCTTTCCTTCTCTCCCTCCCTCCCTCCCTCCCTCCTTCCCTCCCTCCCTCCTTCCTTCCTTCTCTCCCTCCCTCCCTCCCTCCTTCCTCCCTTCCTCTCTCCCTTCCTTCCCTCCCTCCCTCCTTCCTTCCTTCCTTCCTTCCTTCCTTCCTTCCTTCCTTCCTTCCTTCCTTCCTTCCTTCCTTTCCTTCCCTCCCTCCCTCCTTCCCTCCCTTCTCCAACACTGGAAGTTTTTAAGAAGAGACTGGACAGCCGTTTGTCTGAAATGGTAATAGGGTTTCCTTCCTGAGCAGGGGGTTGGACTAGGTGACCTCCAAGGTCCCTTCCAGCTCTATTCGGTTTCTGATTCTGATCACATGCTTCACTCAGCCTTTAGCTCTGGAGTCAGAAAGGTCTGCCACTGCCAGCCCTGGGTTTTTTTTTGTTTTTTTTTTTAGCTTCCATGCAACAAAACCAAAACATTTTGAAATTTCCTGACAGGGAGAACAATTAACCAGTGGAACAACTTGCCACCAGAAGTTGTGGGTGCTCCATCCCTGGAGGCTTTGAAGAAGAGGTTGGACAACCATTTGCTTGAAATGGTGCAGGGTCTCCTACCTGAGCAGGGAGTTGGACAGGAGGAGGAGGACTGTGGGGTCCTTGGTGCTCTCTGAGCTGGGTGGTTTTCCTGCAGACGTTTCATGACCCAACTAGGTAATATTATCAGAGCTAGAAGGGAGGAGGAGGAGGAGGAGGAGGAGGAGGAGGAAGGAAGTGATGGAGGGAAGGGAGGAAGAGGGGCTCCTTTGTGCTCTCTGAGCTGGGTGGTTTTCCTGCAGACGTTTCTGACCCAACTAGGTAATATTATAGAGCTAGAAGGGAGGAGGAGGAGGAGGAGGAGTGAGGAGGAGGAAGGAAAGTGAGGGAGGGGGAGGAGGAGGAGGAAGAGGAAGGACTGTGGGGTCCTTGGTGCTCTCTGAGCTGGGGGGTTTTCCTGCAGACGTTTCATGACCCAACTAGGTAATATTATCAGAGCTAGAAGGGAGGAGGAGGAGGAGGAGGAGGAGGAGGAGGAGGAGGAAGGAAGTGAGGGAGGGAGGGAGGAGGAGGAGGAAGAGGAAGGACTGTGGGCTCCTTGGTGCTCTCTGAGCTGGGGGGTTTTCCTGCAGACGTTTCATGACCCAACTAGGTAATATTATCAGAGCTAGAAGGGAGGAGGAGGAGGAGGAGGAGGAGGAGGAGGAAGGAAGTGAGGGAGGGAGGGAGGAGGAGGAGGAAGAGGAAGGACTGTGGGCTCCTTGGTGCTCTCTGAGCTGGGGGGTTTTCCTGCAGACGTTTCATGACCCAACTAGGGAACATCATCAGTGCTGGAAGGGAGGGGGGTTTGTGGAGTAGAGAAGAAGCAGAGGAGGGAGGAGGAGAGGGAGAGTGACTGAGGGGTCCTGGGTGCTCTCTGAGCTGGGTGATTTTCTTGCAGACGTTTCATTACCCAACTAGGGAACATCATCTGTGCTAGGAGGGAGTTTGCAGAGAGGAGGAGGAGGAGGGGGTGGGTGGGATCAGTGCTCTCTGAGCTTGGTGATTTTCTGGCAGACGTTGCATGACCCAACTAGGTAACATCACCAGTGCTGGAAGAGAGTGGGATTTGTGGAATGGAGGAAGAGGAGGAGGAGGTGTGTGGGATCCTTGGTGCTCTCTGAACTTGATTGTTTCCTTGCAGACGTTTTATGACCCAACTAGGTAACATCATCAGTGCTAAAAGGGAGAGGAGGAGGAGGTGGAGGAGGGGGACGACAACTGTGGGGTCCTTGGTGCTCTCTGAGCTGGGTGGTTTCCTTGCAGATGTTTTATGACCCAACTAGGTAACATCATCAGTGCTAAAATGGAAGAGGAGGAGGAGGAGGAGGAGGAGGAAAAGGAGGAGGAGGAGGAGGAGGTGGTGGTGGTGATGTGTGGGATTCTTGGTGCATTCTGTTCTTGGTTGTTTCCTTGCAGACGTTTTATGACCCAACTCGGTAACATAATCAGTGCTAAAAGGGAGGAGGAGGAGGAGGAGGAGGAGGAGGAGGAGGAGGAGGAGGAGGAGGTGGTGGTGGTGGTGGTGGTGGTGTAGGATTCTTGGTGCATTCTGTTCTTGGTTGTTTCCTTGCAGACATTTTATGACCCAACTCGGTAACAACTTCAGTGCTGGAAGGGAGGGGGTTTTGCAGAGTAGAGAAGGGAGGAGGAGGAGGAGGAGGAGGAGGAGGAGGAGGAAAAAACCTGTGGCGTGCTCTCTGAGCTCAGTTGTTTTCTTCCCAGTCCACCAGTCGTAAAACACAGGTGGTGACCACATCACCTATCCAAGGAAGCTGTGATCTGATCGGACGATCCAAAAGGAAAAAACGACACATACCTGAGCTGGCCTAAACATGCCTTTTTTCCCCTTTGGACCAGCCCTCTGGGTCACCCCATCTACTAGAGCCTCCAAGTGTCAAGACTGTTGAGTTAGCCATTCAATTAAGGGAAGATTCAAAGCAGGAGTGGAACTCTTGAGTAGTTGCCGGTCAACCTTTGGAGAAGCGTCGTTTTGGGGGGGGGGGTTGCGTTGTGCCTATTATGGAGCGAACGCCACAGTTTTGATATATCTTCTCGTCTACCGATAACCCAAATTCCGTGGCCTCACCGAGATGGTGGGTAACGGCAGTTGTACGTGCGTATCTGACATATTTTTACTACGCCCCTCTTCCTGTAAGTAAAATCCTCTTTTCCAATATAATCAAATTAGTTGGAAGTGTGGGGGGAGGGGAACCCAACAACGGGAGGGATTCTGAATTCTTCTCCGGCCTGCTCTGATCTTCTTCTTCTCCTCCTTCGCTCTTCCCTTCCTTCCTTCCTTCCTTCCTTCCTTCCTTCCTTCCTTCCTTCCTTCCTTCCTTCCCTCCCTCCTTCCTTCCTCCCTCCCTCCCTCCCTCCCTCTCTCCCTTCCTTCCTTCCTTCCTTCCCTCCTTCCTTCCTTCCTTCCTTCCTTCCCTCCATCCCTCCCTCCCTCCCTCCTTCCTTCCTTCCTCCCTCCCTCCCTCCCTCCCTCTCTTCCTTCCTTCCTTCCTTCCTTCCTTCCTTCCTTCCTTCCTTCCTTCCTTCCTTCCTTCCTCCCTCTCTCCCTCTAGAGACGGTGAAGAGCAACCCTTGATCAAGTGGATGGCAGGAGATGGGCCCAAAGATTTATGGACTTGGTCCCTGAGGAGCTGAAGCCGTGCCTTCTTCCTTTCCCCTTCCTTGCCTCTCCACCAGATCGTTTCCGAAGATCACCGCCACAGCATGACACGGCTTTGGTTGGGCTTCCTGCTTTGGCTCTCCAACCATCCGAGGTGGACCTACTGTAGAGGCCCCCCTTGGTGGTCCCTTCTCGTCTGGCCTCTGCTTCTTCGCCTTCCTCTCAGCGTCCACGCCACAACTTTCAAAGTCGGCGTGATCGGTCCCTGGAAGTGTGACTCCATCTACGCCCGAGCCTACCCCGACGCAGCGGCCAACTTGGCCGTACGTCGGATCAACAAGGACCCAACCTTAAACAAGGGATACTGGTTCGATTACGTCCTCCTCAACGAAGACTGCCAGACCTCCAAGGCGCTCACGGGCTTAGTCAACGCAGAATACTACGCCTCTGGTTTCGTCGGTCCGGTTAACCCGACGGTCTGCCAGGCTGCGGGGATGCTGGGCAAAACCTGGAACAAGCCCGTCTTCTCCTGGGCTTGCTTGACGGATGACGCGGCGGTGGGACGTTTCGGGACTTTTGTGCGGCCCTTACCGCAGGCCTCCGCTGTCCTCTACACTGTACTGAAGCACTTCCAGTGGGCTCACGTCGCCGTGATCACCTCGAAGGAAGATCTCTGGGTCCAAGTGGGACAAAGCCTGGCTGACTCGCTGAGGAACTTTGGCCTGCCCGTCACGGTGATGACCACCATGGAAGATGAACCGAGCGGGGTGGAGGATGCTCTTGGAAAGATCAAGAAGGCCAACAACGTACGAGGTATGGTTGCGATGGGTGGATGTTCCTCACGAGAGATCTAACATAGGTTTGAAAGATATGGGGTCTGTCTTAGGAGAAAGGGCTGCAGGTCACCTTATGGTTCCTTCTGAGGTGAAGAAGCTCATCATGGTGGTTTCTTCACTTCTGGCTTGACTTAGATGGATCAAGCTCCTCATTTACTCAAAAAATGATGACAGACAGAAGATGAAAACCTACTTTCCATTCTTTCTTCTGAGGTAAAGAAGCTCCTCATGATAGTTTCTTCAATTCTGGCTTGAGTTAGATGGATCGAGCTCCTCATTTACTTAAAAAATGATCATAGAAGATGGAAACCTACTTTCCATTCTTTCTTCTGAGGTAAAGAAGCTCCTCATGATAGTTTCTTCAATTCTGGCTTGAGTTAGATGGATCGAGCTCCTCATTTACTTAAAAAATGATCATAGAAGATGGAAACCTACTTTCCATTCTTTCTTCTGAGGTAAAGAAGCTCCTCATGATAGTTTCTTCAATTCTGGCTTGAGTTAGATGGATCGAGCTCCTCATTTACTTAAAAAATGATCATAGAAGATGGAAACCTACTTTCCATTCTTTCTTCTGAGGTAAAGAAGCTCCTCATGCTAGTTTCTTCAATTCTGGCTTGAGTTAGATGGATCGAGCTCCTCATTTACTTAAAAAATGATCAAAGAAGATGGAAACCTACTTTCCATTCTTTCTTCTGAGGTAAAGAAGCTCCTCATGATGGTTTCTTCAATTCTGGCTTGAGTTAGATGGATCGAGCTCCTCATTTACTTAAAAAATGATCACAGAAGATGGAAACCTACTTTCGATTCTTTCTTCTGAGGTAAAGAAGCTCCTCATGATGGTTTCTTCAATTCTGCCTTGAGTTAGATGGATCGAGCTCTTCATTTACTTAAAAAATGATCACAGAAGATGGAAACCTACTTTCCATTCTTTCTTCTGAGGTAAAGAAGCTCCTCATGATGGTTTCTTCAATTCTGGCTTGAGTTAGATCGATCGAACTCCTCATTTACTTAAAAAATGATCACAGAAGATGGAAACCTACTTTCCATTCTTTCTTCTGAGGTAAAGAAGCTCCTCATGATGGTTTCTTCAATTCTGCCTTGAGTTAGATGGATCGAGCTCCTCATTTACTTAAAAAATTATCACAGAAGATGGAAACCTACTTTCCATTCTTTCTTCTGAGGTAAAGAAGCTCCTCATGATGGTTTCTTCAATTCTGGCTTGAGTTAGATGGATCGAGCTCCTCATTTACTTAAAAAATGATCACAGAAGATGGAAACCTACTTTCCATTCTTTCTTCTGAGGTAAAGAAGCTCCTCATGATGGTTTCTTCAATTCTGCCTTGAGTTAGATGGATCGAGCTCCTCATTTACTTAAAAAATTATCACAGAAGATGGAAACCTACTTTCCATTCTTTCTTCTGAGGTAAAGAAGCTCCTCATGATGGTTTCTTCAATTCTGGCTTGAGTTAGATGGATCGAGCTCCTCATTTACTTAAAAAATGATCACAGAAGATGGAAACCTACTTTCGATTCTTTCTTCTGAGGTAAAGAAGCTCCTCATGATGGTTTCTTCAATTCTGCCTTGAGTTAGATGGATCGAGCTCTTCATTTACTTAAAAAATGATCACAGAAGATGGAAACCTACTTTCCATTCTTTCTTCTGAGGTGAAGAAGCTCATCATGATGGTTTCTTCACTTCTGCCTTGACTTAGATGGATCGAGCTCCTCATTTACTCAAAAAATGATGACAGACAGAAGATGGAAACCTACTTTCCATTCTTTCTTCTGAGGTGAAGAAGCTCCTCATGATGGTTTCTTCAATTCTGGCTTGGCTTGGACGATTCCAACTTCTCATTGAGTCCCAAAACTATCACAGAAAGAAAATGGAAACCCTCTTTTCCTCGATCCAACGCTACGGGAAAGCTGATTCTAGGAGAACATGAGGGAAAAAGACCTTCTCCTTAGTAGGAGAAATTGGACAGTGGCGCCAACTGACCCGGGAAGTGGTCGCTTCCTCTGGGTTGGAAGCCTTCAAAGATAGAACGAACCTGGGATTTGAGTTTCGGGATCGATGGGGTTGAACGTGGTGGCTGCAGAGATCCCGTCTAACTCTGGCACTCTATAAATGTTGGTTTATATGACAAGGAGCATGCCGTGTGACTCAGCCATGTGTTTATGCAGCTTCTTTCTCGGTCAGGAGAACCTATCTCCAAGACATGGTTGAACAGCCAACATCTCAACTCTACCAACAAAGGCTAACTATCACCCCATTCTGATTCCATAGTTTCATTGCTAACCTGGCTTGCTATTAAGATGGTCCTAATATTATATCTCAGTGATGTTCAAGCCAGGATTCTGTGTTCTGCACTCTGGAAAGATGGAGATCTCGTTCTTCTCTGTGGCTTCCTTTCAGTGCTGCTTCTATCTATCTATCTATCTATCTATCTATCTATCTATCTATCTATCTATCTATCTATCTATCTATCTATCTATTTATCTATCTCCTCCTAAGACTTTTCAACGGCCTTTCTGCAATTCTTCCCATTTTTATGTCTCTTCCTCATAGCTGAAGTACCGTACATATCAATTTGTATCAGTGATTCTGATGTTCTGGTGATGTTGAGACTCTAGAAAGAGTGGAGAGAAGAGCATCAAAGATAATTAGGGGAGGCTGAAACATACAAAGAACAATTGCCAGAATTGGGTATGTCTAGTTTAGCGAAAAGAAGGACGAGGGGGGTGACATGATAGCAGTCTTCCAATCTTTGGGGGGGGGGCTGCCCCAAAGAAGAGGGGGGTCCACCTCTTCTCCAAAGCGCCTGAAGGCAGGACAAGAAGCAACGGATGGAAACCTATCAAGGAGAGAAGCAACCTAGGAGAAATTTCTTGACAGTGAGGACAATTAGCCAGTGGAACGACTTGTCACCAGAAGCTGTGGGTGCTCCATCACTGGAGGTTTTTAAGAAGAGATTGGGCAGCCTTTTGTCTGAAAGATTATAGGGTCTTCTGCTTGAGCAGGGGGTTGGACTGGAAGACCTCCCAAGGTCCCTTCCAACACTGTAATTCTGTTATTCTCAACCTTGGGGAATGTAGACCGGGAGGACCTCAACTCTCAGACGTTCTTGGGAAATTCTGGGAGTTGAAGTCCACAAGTCATCAAAGGGTCCTAGTTCCCTCACGCTGGCTGAGGAATTCTGGGAGTTGAAGTCCTCAAGTCATCAAAGGGCCATAGTTCCCTCACGCTGGCTGAGGAATTCTGGGAGTTGAAGTCCACAAGTCATCAAAGGGTCATAGTTCCCTCACGCTGGCTGAGGAATTCTGGGAGTTGAAGTCCTCAAGTCATCAAAGGGTCCTAGTTCCCTCACGCTGGCTGAGGAATTCTGGGAGTTGAAGTCCACAAGTCATCAAAGGGTCCTAGTTCCCTCACGCTGGCTGAGGAATTCTGGGAGTTGAAGTCCACAAGTCATCAAAGGGTCCTAGTTCCCTCACGCTGGCTGAGGAATTCTGGGAGTTGAAGTCCACAAGTCATCAAAGGGTCCTAGTTCCCTCACGCTGGCTGAAGAATTCTGGGAGTTGAAGTCCTCAAGTCATCAAAGGGTCCTAGTTCCCTCCTACTGGCTGAGGAATTCTGGGAGTTGAAGTCCACCAGTCATCAAAGGGTCCTAGTTCCCTCACACTGGCTGAGGAATTCTGGGAGTTGAAGTCCACAAGTCATCAAAGGGTCCTAGTTCCCTCACGCTGGCTGAGGAATTCTGGGAGTTGAAGTCCACAAGTCATCAAAGGGTCCTAGTTCCCTCACGCTGGCTGAAGAATTCTGGGAGTTGAAGTCCTCAAGTCATCAAAGGGTCCTAGTTCCCTCCTACTGGCTGAGGAATTCTGGGAGTTGAAGTCCACCAGTCATCAAAGGGTCCTAGTTCCCTCACACTGGCTGAGGAATTCTGGGAGTTGAAGTCCACAAGTCATCAAGGGGTCCTAGTTCCCTCACGCTGGCTGAAGAATTCTGGGAGTTGAAGTCCTCAAGTCATCAAAGGGTCCTAGTTCCCTCCCGCTGGCTGAGGACTTCTGGGAGTTGAAGTCCACCAGTCATCAAAGGGTCCTAGTTCCCTCACACTGGCTGAGGAATTCTGGGAGTTGAAGTCCACAAGTCATCAAGGGGCCATAATGGTTCCCTATGCTGGCTGAGGAATTCTGGGAGTCCATGAGTCATAAAAGAGCCGAGGTTGCCTACCCCTGAACTAGACATCCCTAAGTCCAGCAGCCGTTCCTTGTATGTTTCAGCCGCCAATCCCCTGATCATCTTTGTTGCTCTTCTCTGCCCTCTTTCTAGAGTCGCAACATCTTTTTTTACATCGTGGTGACCAAAACTGGATGCAGTATTCCAAGTGTGGCCTTACGAAGGCCTTGTAAAGCGGTATTAACACTTCAGGTGATGTTAAGGTTGATGTTAGGGTTGCTTCTTGAGGGCCATGCAGAGAAAGTGGGAGGCTTCGCCCTCTCCTCTGATGTCCTTGATGCATGAAGTCCTTTTTAAATTCCCTCTGAAGCCATGGAGGTTTCCTGTAGGATGGTACAAAACACTCCAAACGAGGCTTTTCAGATTTATTTGACGTGAAGAAGGTGACGGAGATGGAGAACCAATTCTTTGGGGAGGCTTTCTCTGGCCTTTTAGAAGCCAGAAGCTGGAAAGGGTTACTTGCGGGCAACCACAGGTGTTTTGAGGACAACTCAGGACTTTTATGGCCCTCCTGACCAAGGTCTGGTGGCATCTCCGAGGTTGAAAGGGACCTGGTGGGGCTTTGGAAGTTGAGTTGGCATGGATGCTTCCACTCCAGATGGAGACTGTGGATGCATTTCTTTATCGTCCCCAATGATTCAGATTCGACTTTGATAATCTCAGTTCTCTTAACCTTCTTACTCTGTTTTTGGCCTCCTCCTTCTCCTTGTCCTCCTCCCCCTCCTTCTCCTTCATTCCTCGTCTTCCTTCTCCTTCATGTCTTCTCCTTCTCCTCTTCTTCATTCCTCCTCCTCCTTCTTCATGCCTTCTCCTTCTCCTTCATTCCTCTTCCTCCTTCTTTTGCTCCTGTTGCTCTTGCTGCCTCTTCTTCTTCTTATTCTTCCTCCTCCTCCTCTTTTTCTTCTTCTTCTTCTCTTCTTCCTGTTGCTCCTCCTCCTGTTGCTCCTGCCTCCTCCTCCTGCCTTCTGCCTTCTGCCTCCTGCCTCCTCCTCCTCGTCCTCCTCTTGTTGTTCTTGTTCTTGTTCTTGTTCTTGTTCTTGTTCTTGTTCTTCTTCTTCTTCTTCTTCTTCTTCTTCTTCTTCTTCTTCTTCTTCTTCTTCTTCTTCTTCTTCTTCTCCTCCTCCTCCTCCTCCTCCTCCTCCTCCTCCTTCTCTCCCCTTCCCCTCCTTCTCCTCCTCCTCCTCCTCCTCCTTCTTCCCCCTCCTCCCCCTCCTCCTTTTTCTTCTTCCTCCTCCTCCTCCTCCTCTACCATCCCTTCTCTCCCTCCTCCTTCCCTATGCAGCGGTCATCATGTGCATGCACTCCGTCCTGTTGGGTGGGGAGGAGCAGCGCCTCCTGTTGGAGAAGGCCGAAGAGACGGGCCTGACCAGAGGGAGTTACATCTTCATCCCCTACGATGCCCTGACCTACAGCATGCCCTACCAGGAGGAGGCCTACGCGGCGCTGGAGGACAACGTCAAATTACGCCGGGCGTACGATGCCGTGCTGACCGTCACCGTAGACTCGCCGGAGTATTCCTTCCGGCAGGCCTTTGAAGAGGCTCAGAAGAGGAGAGAGATCCCGGGACAGCTCAGTGTGGAGAAGGTGGTGCCTGAGTTGGGAGGAAGTGGGGTTGGAGTGGTGGGAATAAGGGTCATGCAGGTAGTCCTTGACTTCGGACCAGAATGGAGCCCAAAGGTTTTGTTGCTAAAGTTAATGATATCAACATCAATATCAATGTCAATAACAACAACATTAATAATAATAATAATAAATTCGCCATTAGTCAGTTGCAAAAGGCGGCCTTACTAGGAACTGCTTCCATCCTGCGACGATACCTGTAATACCGTCAAACATCCACATCTGCCTATCCCAGGTCCTGGGTAAGGACTCAATAGGTAGACAAAATGCCAAATCCAGTCTGAACATCTGGCTGACTGTGCGATGATCCAAAACAATAATAATAATAATAATAATAATAATAATAATAATAATAATAATAATAATAATAATAATATAATGATGATGATGATGATGACAACAACTTGATAGGTAGACAAAATGCCAAATCCAATCTGAACATCTGGCTGATTGTGCGATGATCCATAATAATAATAATAATAATAATAATAATAATAATAATAATATAATGATGATGATGATGATGATGACAACAACTTGATAGGTAGACAAAATGCCAAATCCAATCTGAACATCTGGCTGATTGTGCGATGATCCATAATAATAATAATAATAATAATAATAATAATATAATGATGATGATGATGATGATGATGATGATGATGATGATGACAACAACTCGATAGGTAGACAAAATGCCAAATCCAATCTGAACATCTGGCTGATTGTGCGATGATCATAATAATAATAATAATAATAATAATAATAATAATAATATAATGATGATGATGATGATGATGACGATGATTCGATAGGTAGACAAAATGCCAAATCCAGTCTGAACATCTGGCTGACTATGCGATGATCCATAATAATAATAATATTATTATTATTATTAATAATAATAATAATAATGATGATGATGATGACTCAATAGGTAGACAAAATGCCAAATCCAGTCTGAACATCTGGCTGACTGTGCGATGATCCATAATAATAATAATAATGATGATGATGATGATGATGACTCGATAGGTAGACAAAATGCCAAATCCAGTCTGAACATCTGGCTGACTGTTTGATGATCTGTAAAAATAGTAATAATAATAACTATCAGTGCCAGTCAATTTGAATGTTCAGTTGACTGAGGTTCATGTCTAATGAATAATAATAATAATAATAATAATAATAATAATAATAATAATAGAAAGACTGTGGCAAAAGCAAGCAAGGGTGGCACCAACAGTAATAGGCGCCTTGGGTGCAATCCCAAAACAACTGGAGCACCACTTGAACACCATCATCGGCATTGACAAATTCGCCATTAGTCAATTGCAAAAGGCGGCCTTTCTTGGAACTGCTTCCATCCTGCGACGAGATCTGTAATACCATCAAACATCCACATCTGCCTATCCCAGGTCCTTGGGAAGGACTCGGGTGGACAAAAATGCCAAATCCAGTCTGAACATCTGGCTGACTGTGCAATGATCCATAATAATAATAATAATAATAATAATAATAATAATAATAATGATGATGATGATGATGATGATGATAATAATAATAGAGTTGGAAGGTCATACAGTCCAACCCTCTGCTCAGGCAGGAAACCCTATCCTATTTCAGACAAGGGGCTGTCCAGTCTCTTCTTAAAAACTTCCAATGTTGGAGAATGGAGGGAGGAAGGAAGGAAGGAAGGAAGGAAGGAAGGAAGGAAGGAAGGAAGGAAGGAAGGAAGGAAGGAAGGAAGGAAGGAAGGAAGGAAGGAAGGAAGGAAGGAGACTGTGGGGTCCTTGGGGCTCTCTGAGCTGGGTGGTTTTCTTGCAGACATTTCATATCCCAAATAGATAACATCAGCAGGCTGGAAGGGAGGTGGGTGTGCAGAGAGGAAGGGGAGGAAGAAGAAGAAGAGGAAGAAGAAGAGGAGGTAGAAGAAGAAGAGGAGGAGGAGGAGGAAGACTGTGGGGTCCTTGGTGCTCTCTGAGTGTCTCAATGCTTGTAAGCGTGTAGGAAGCCAAGCAAATCCTTCCTTTGTGTAAATGACATAAACAACCTAGATGAGAGAATAGAAGGGGAACTTATCAAATTTGCAGATGACACTAAGCTGGCAGGAATAACCGACACCCCAAAAGAGAAGCTCAGGATCCAAAAAGATCTCAACAGACTTGAAGCCTGGGCCCCATCGAAGAAAATGAAACTCAACGCAGAGGAAAGTCAAGTCTTACACTTAGGCAAGAAGCACCAAAAGGACACATCTAGATTGGGTGTAACCTGGCTTAATGCCAGCAACTGTGAGAGGGACCTCGGAGTCCTAGTGGACAATCCCTTAAATGTGAGCCAGCTGTGGGCTGCAGCTGCCAAAAAAGCCAACACAGTGCTGGGCTGCATTAACAGAGGGATAGAATCAAGATCAGGTGAAGCGTTAATACCACTTTACAAGGCCTTGGTAAGGCCACACTTGGAATACGGCATCCAGTTTTGGTCACCACGATGTAGAAAAGATGTTGAGACTCTAGAAAGAGTACAGAGAAGAGCAACAAAGAGGATTAGGGGATTGGAGGCTAAAACATAGAAGGAACGGTTGCTGGAATTGGGTAAATGAAGAGAAGGACGAGGGGGGACATGATAGCAGCATTCCAGTATCTCAGGGGCTGCCCCAAAGAAGAGGGAGTCAAGCTATTCTCCAAAGCGCCTGAAGGCAGGACGAGAAGCAACGGATGGAAACTAAGCAAGGAGAGAAGCAACCGAGAACTAAGAAGGAATTTCCTGACAGTTAGAACAATTAATCAGAGGGGCTGCCACAATAAAGAGGGGGGAGTCAACTTATTTTTCCAAAGTGCCCGAAGGCCAGATAGGGAACAACGGATGGAAACGGATCAAATGTAGACAAAAGTACGGCGTGCGAGGTGCAATCTTGCCTTAGTCCTTTTTCCTCCTCCCTGCAGGCCCATCCTTTGTTCGGCACCATTTTTAACGCTGTCTACTTCCTAGCCAAGGCCGTGGAAAACACCCGCGTCTCCGGGAAGAGGGTGGCGGGCACCACCATTGCTGAACACGCCAAGGACTTCGAGCTGGAAGGGTTTAGCCAGCCGGTGTCAGCGGACCAAAATGGAGCGGCCAAGGTGCCTTACGTCGTCCTGGACACGGATGGGAGGGGCAGCCGCCTTCACCCCGTTTACAAAGTCGACTTGGCATCCGGGATCCTGCGTTTCACCGGACGAGCTGTCCACTGGCCTGACAACACCAAGCCAGCTTCGGACTCCAGCTGTTGGTTCAACCGCGGCACCATTTGCACTGGGGGTAAGTGTGGAAGCCAAGTCAGACTGGGTAGGTCAGATCTACCTAAAAGGTCAGAATCGGAGTCAGATTAGAACTGGAAGGGACCTTGGAGGTCTTCTAGTCCAGCCCCCTGCTCAAGCAAGAGACCCCCTAGACCATTTCAGGTAGATGGCTGTCCAGTCTCCTCTTAAAAATCTCCCGTGATGAAACACCTACAACATCTGGTGTCAAGCTGTTCCACTGATTAATTGTCCTCACCGTTAGGAAGTTTCTCCTTAGTTCCAGGTTGCTTCTCTCCTTGATTAGTTTCCATCTGTTGCTTCTTGTCCTGCCTTCTGGTGCTTTGGAGAATAGCTTGACTCCCTTCCTTCCTTCCTTCCTTCCTTCCTTCCTTCCTTCCTTCCTTCCTTCCTTCCTTCCTTCCTTCCTTCTTTCCTTCCTTCCTCCCATTTTCCCTTCCTCCAATCTTCTCATTCCCATCTCCTTCCTGCCTTCCTTCCTCCCTCTCTTTTCTTCTCATTCCCATCAAATTCCTTCCTTCCTTCCTTCCTTCCTTCCTTCCTTCCTTCCTTCCTTCCTTCCTTCCTTCCTTCCTTCCTTCCTTCCTTCCTTCCTCCCATTTTCCCTTCCTCCAATCTTCTCATTCCCATCTCCTTCCTGCCTTCCTCCCTCCCTCCCTTTCCTTCTCATTCCCATCAACTTCCTTCCTTCCTTCCTTCCTTCCTTCCTTCTTTCCTTCCTTCCTTCCTTCCTTCCTTCTTTCTTTCTTTTCCTCCCTCCTCCCTCCCTCCTTCTCATTCCCATCTCCTTCCTTTCTTCCTTCCTTCCCTCCCTTCCTTCCTTCTCTCACTCCCTGTCTGAAATGGAATAGGGCAGTGGTGACGAATCTATGGCACGCGTGCCAGAGGCAGCACTTTGATCCCTCTCTGTGGGCACGCGTGCCATGCTCTGGAGATGGCAACCGTTCCTCTTCAACCAGCCACCTGCTAACTCGTCGAGATCCCACATGGCCGGATGCATCCCAGCACGGCTGGTTTCCCTCCCCCCCCGTCCCCTCCCTCCTGGCCTTGTATGCTCTCCTTTTCCCGGGCACGACCCGCTGCATCGTCTCCTCAGCTGTCGGTTGTCCGTCCAGCTCAGTGGCGGCTTCTCTGAACTGCTGGTGGCAGGCTGCGGAGCCCCAGAATGCGCCAGTCGAAAGGCCGGCAGGCTGTGGCTGCTGACGGACACTGTTGGCCCCCATGCGCTCATTGGCCTCTGTGTGTGGGGGCCGATGGTGTCAGGCAGCAGCTGCCCCGGCCCCTGCCTCTCCTTGCCCTACGACAATGGCACCCCAGCCCCACCTCGCCTTACCCCACAGGACGAGGCTCCTGCCCACCGCCCCAGAGACCCCCTGGATCTCCCCCAACCCTGCCCGGCCCCCACAGGCATCCCTCCCCATGAGCAACATCAAGGTGACCACACCCACCTTGGCCACACCCACCCAGTCTGCCATGACCACCACGGCCATGGCCACCCAGTGGGCCATGCCCACCTGGCACCCGGCGATAAATAAGTTGCAGTTTGGGCACTCGGTCTCTAAAAGGTTGGCCATCACTGGAATAGGGTCTACTGCTTGAGCAGGGGGCTGGACTAGACGACCTCTAAGGTCCCCTCCAACTCTGTTAATTCTGTGTAAGCTCTGTGTGACTGCCCTTCAATGCCTTTAGCCTTGTGTAGCCTTGTGTAGCCTTTCAGAGGCGAAAGCAGCCAGTCTGGGGAGGTTCCTGTAAAGTAGGCTTAGAACAATAAAGTAGTTCGAACTCAAGGAGAGAAGCAACCTGGAATCAAGGAGAAACTTCCCAACGGTGAGAACAATGAACCAGCGGAACAGCTGGCCACCAGAAGTGGTGGGTGCTCCAACATTGGAGGCTTTTAAGAGGAAATGGGACATCCAGTTGGACTACTGCAACGCGCTCTACATGGGGCTACCCTTGAAAAGTATTCGGAGACTACAGTTGGTCCAGAATGCAGCCGCGTGAGTGATAGTGGGTGCTCCTCGATACACCCACGTTACACCTATCCTCCGTGAGCTGCACTGGTTGCCTATTGGTCTCCGGGTCCAATTCAAGGTGTTGGTCATTACCTTTAAAGTCCCATATGGCTCAGGGCCAGGCTATTTGCGAGACCGCCTACTACCTCATAGTTCCCTACGTCCGGTTAGATCCCACAGGCTGGGCCTCCTTCGGGCCCCGTCGGCCAAGCAGTGCCATTTGGCGGGGCCGCGGAGGAGGGCCTTCTCTGTGATGGCGCCCACGCTTTGGAATCAGCTCCCCCCAGAGATTAGGACCGCTCCCACCCTGTTGGTCTTCCGTAAGCTACTTAAGACCTGGCTTTTCCGGCAGGCCTGGGGTTTATAAAACCTGACCCCTGGATGATTGTTTTTGTATTGTTGTTTTGTTATGTTTTATGTGTTTTTTATTGTTAGCCGCCCAGAGTCTTTTGGGAGTGGGGCGGCTTATAAATTTTAAAAATAAAATAAATAAAATAAATCCACTTGTCTTAATGATGGTGGACCTCAGTCCAAAGAAAATAAGTGTTTTTTCTTCTTCCTCTTTCCAGGCGTGGGTGTCCGTTTTGTTTTCCTCTTCTTCCTCATTGTTACTCTCTTGTTCCTGGGTGGATCTGTTCTGGCTTACTATCTTCGGTGAGTTTCACGTGATCCTCTTATGAGTCCCCACTCCAGAATGGTGTTTGGGAGTCATATGGGACGTTGTCTGCCCCTCCCTGCTTCGGCTACGGGCGACCGTTTTTCATTTCCGATATTTTTAATTTCTCGCCTCCCTTTTCACAGGTGCCAGCTTCAGCATGCCAGGCTCACGAAGGGACCCAACAAAATTGCCCTGACCGCGGAGGACCTGACCTTCATCGACCTCCCGAGCGGCAGGAAGGTAAACAAGTTTTTACGCCGTAACCTTGAGAAGAACACAACCCCCTGGCGATGGGAGGTTGTGATTATTGAGTAAAGCACTCCAAAATCAGAGACCGGGCTGAGTGAATAATGGCCGACTCAGATCAATGCAAGAAAAGAGGTGGTGTCAAAAGACCACTGTCGCTGGCCTTGCAAAGCTGGTAGAGATGGCCAACTTTGGCACCATCCAGATACAGATGTATCTACCCAAGGTTACGTCCACTTTTCTTGTTTTTTGGGACCATCAAGATGTAGATGTATCTACCCAAGGTTATGTCCACTTTTCTTGTTCTTTGGGACTATCAAGATGTAGATATATGTACCCAAGATTATGTCCACTTTTCTTGTTCTTTGGGACTATCAAGATGTAGATTTATGTTCCCAAGTTTACATCCACTTTTCTTGTTCTTTCGGACCATCAAGATGCAGATGTATATACCCAAGATTACGTCCACTTTTCTTGTTCTTTGGGACTATCAAGATGTAGATGTATCTACCCAATGTTAAGTCCACTTTTCTTGATCTTTGGGACTATCAAGATGTAGTTGTATCTACCCAAGGTTGCAGCAACTTTTCTTGTTGTTTGGAACCATCAAGATGTAGATGTATCTACCCAAGGTTACGTCCACTTTTCTTGTTCTTTGGGACTATCAAGATGTAGATTTATGTTCCCAAGTTTACATCCACTTTTCTTGTTCTTTCGGACCATCAAGATGTAGATGTATATACCCAAGATTACGTCCACTTTTCTTGTTCTTTGGGACTATCAAGATGTAGATGTATCTACCCAATGTTAAGTCCACTTTTCTTGATCTTTGGGACTATCAAGATGTAGTTGTATCTACCCAAGGTTGCAGCAACTTTTCTTGTTGTTTGGAACCATCAAGATGTAGATGTATCTACCCAAGGTTACGTCCACTTTTCTTGTTTTTTGGGACCATCAAGATGTAGATGTACCCAAGATTACGTCCACCTTTCTTGTTCTTTGGGACTATCAAGATGTAGATTTATGTTTCCAAGTTTACATCCACTTTTCTTGTTCTTTCGGACCATCAAGATGTAGATGTATGTACCCAAGATTATGTCCACTTTTCTTGTTCTTTGGGACTATCAAGATGTAGATGTATCTACCCAAGGTTACGTCCACTTTTCTTGTTTTTTGGGACCATCAAGATGTAGATGTATCTACCCAAGTTTACGTCCACTTTTCTTGTTTTTTGGGACCATCAAGATGTAGATGTATCTACCCAAGGTTACGTCCACTTTTCTTGTTCTTTGGGACCATCAAGATGTAGATGTATCTACCCAAGGTTACGTCCACTTTTCTTGTTCTTTGGGACCATCAAGATAGAGATGCATCTACCCAAGGTTACGTCCACCTGTCTTGTTCTTAACGGTTGCTCAATAATATTATTTCAGAGCGTTCTTTAGTTTACCCTGATTTGTCTCCTTCCTCCCTAGAAGACGGATAACAGTCCTGGGGGAAATTGCTCGGAGAAGAAAAGCTTGAAAAATGGGGCAGATCAGAAGAACAGCTTAGCTGTGTTTGAGGTGAAGACATATCCCTTCCTGCGTCATGTCTGGTCCCAAATTCTTTCAGTATTGGGTGGTGGGGGTAGAGGGCCTACAGGAGGGACCTCAGATGTACAGCCATTTCCTGCAAAGTTTGGAGCCCCCTACTCAACAGAATATGGTGGAGCAAGGCTGTGAACATCAATTGTGGAACATTAAGAAGAAGGCTCAACTCCAGAGTTCATCATCTTTCATGGGAAAGTCACGAAGGATTGGGGTTTGAAACCTTGTTAGTTGGTCCACTGTGGATTGTCCAAGGGCTGGGTCCTCTCCTCTTTGTTGTTTAATGTCTTTACGAAACCGCTTGGTTAGCCTAACCCAGGGGTCACCAACCTTTTTGGATTGGCGGCCCGGTGGGAGAGGGAAGGGGCAGGTGCCTTACGCGCACGTGCACAAATGTGAATGTGGCCACACGTGCGCGTGCGCATACAAACAGGCCGCGAGCACGCGTACCACGCAAACGGGGCTGCGAGCATGCACGCGAGACTCTCAGCGACGCCGGTGACGGTGTGAGGCTTGTGGTGCCACTGCCACCAGGCTTGTGGCAATGCTACCACCAGCACAAGGCTCATGTTGCTGCCCGAAGTGGTGCCGCCCTGGTGTGAGGTTCGTGCCACTGCTCTGGCGCGAGGTTCGTGCTGCTGCCCCGCACGAGGATTGCGCAGCGGCCCACAGGGATGCTGCCTCAGCACAAGGCTCTTGCTACCGCCCCCTATGAGGATCATGGTGTGGCCCACCTGCTTCTCGTGTTGCTGCTGCCTCCCGCGGAAGGTTCATGGCAATGGCGATACTAGCAGCACTGCCACCGCCTGCACAACACTTACGGCAATGGTGGCACAAGGGGGGGGGTGAGCACACACACACGCACGTGCACTGCCCAGCTACCCATGCAGCCTGGCAGCCAAGATTCCACAGCCCGGTAGAGCGCCGCTGCCCATAGGTTGGGGACTCTGGGCTAACCCATCAGCTTGGATTGACACTGTTCTTTTTTTGATCCCTCGCGACGGTTGAAAGTCACCATATGTGCCCTTCCTTGTCTCCCTGTCCCCCACCTTTAGGGTGACTGGGTGTGGCTGAAAAGATTCCCTGGAGGAAAGAGCATAGAAGTCAAAACAACCACGGAAAAAGTTTTTTGCAAGGTGAGTTCTTGAAGAGCTTTCTTCTCAAAATGGGTAGATAGATAGTCCTACACAATCATTCCTGGTTGACGTTTCAACCAGGAACGAGGCTTTCCCTGTGCAGGTAATAATAATAAAGTTGGAAGGGACCTTGGAGGTCATCAAGTCCAACCCCCTGCTCAGGCAGGAAACCCTACACCATTTCAGACAAATGGCTGCCCAGTCTCTTCTTCAAAGCATCCAGTGTTGGAGCGTTCACCGCTTCTGGAGGCAAGTTGTTCCACTGGTTAATTGTTCTCACTGTCAGGAAGCTTCTCCTTAGTTCTAGGTTGCTTCTCTCCTTGACCAGTTTCCACCTGTGGCTTCTTGTCCTGCCTTCAGGCGCTTTGGAGAATAGCTTGACTCCCTCTTCTTTGGGGCAGCCCCTGAGATATTGGAACACTGCTATCCTGTCCCCCCTCGTCCTTCTCTTCGTTAAACTAGACATCCCCAATTCCAGCAACTGTTCCTTCTATGTTTTAGCCTCCAGTCCCCTGATCATCTTTGTTGCTCTTCTCTGCACTCTTTCTAGACTCTCAACATCTTTTTTGCATTGTGGTGACCAAAACTGGACGCCGTATTCCAAGTGTGGCCTTACTAAGGCCTTGTAAAGTGGTATTAACCCTTCACGTGATCTTGATTCTATCCCTCTGTTCATGCAGCCTAGCACTGTGTTGGCTTTTTTGGCAGCTGCAGCACACGGCTGGCTCCTATTTAAGTGATTGTCCACTAGGACTCCGAGGTCCCTCTCGCAGTTGCTACTATTGAGCAAGGTACCCCCTATACTAAACCTGTACATTTGGTTTTCCTTGCCGAAATGGAGAACCTTACTTTTTTCATCCTTGAATTTCATTTTGTTAGACAGCGCTCAGTGTTCAAGTCTGTCCAGGTCCTCCTGTATCTTAAGCCTGTCTTCTGGAGTGTTGGCTATTCCTTGCCTTCCAACAGTTGATTTAGCAAACGTTCTAAGTTACAAACGTACTGGGGAAAAACGACGACAACTTACAACCGTGTTTCACACTTACGACCATCACAGCCTCCCCAAAATCCAGATGCTTGACAACTGACTCACGTTTTGTGACGGTTGCAGCGCCCCGTCGTCCCCTTTGCCGACCTTCTGCTGAGCAAAGTCCACAGGGAAGCCGGACGGATACTTAACAACCGCTTGCCGTGATTCGCTTAACAACGATGGCAGGAAAGGTCATAAAACGGGACAAAATTAGCTTAACGACGGCCTGGCTTAGCAACAGAAATGTTGGGCTCAATGTGTGTTTGTAATTCGAGGACTCTCTGTATTTTCGCCCTCCTCTGTCTCATGGGCTAAGAAATTTCAGTCAGCAGGTAGCGGCTTCTTCCGTGTCCGGTGCGAAGAATCAGTATCACATTAAGTTCCAGTTAAACTGATTTATTGCTCATGGCTTCACACAAGGATCTAGTGAGCTAAGAGTCAGAATTAATTTGGCACTAGATAAGAGTTAATAGAATTCAAGAGGGGTTTGACTTAGAATGCTTATGGGAATGTAATGACTCCAGGCTAATTCCCTTCTTGACCCCACCTCCAGGAATAGAATAGAATAGAATAGAATAGAATAGAATAGAATAGTATAGTATAGTATAGTATAGTATAGTATAGTATAGAAAATGGAATAGAATAGAATAGAATAGAAAATGGAATAGAATAGAATAGAAAATGGAATAGAATAGAATAGAATAGAATAGAAAATGGAATAGAATAGAATAGAATAGAATAGAATAGAATAGAATAGAATAGAAAATGGAATAGAATAGAATAGAATAGAATAGAATAGAATAGAATAGAATAGAATAGAATAGAATTATGGGATAGAATAGAATACTGGAGGCTAAAACATATAAGGAACGGCTGCTGGAATTGGGTATGTCTAGTTTAACGAAGAGAAGGACGAGAGTGGACATGATAGCAGCGTTCCAATATCTCAGGGGCTGCCCCAAAGAAGAGGGAGTCAAGCTATTTTCCAAGGTGCCTGAAGGCAGGACAAGAAGCGACGGATGGAAACTAACCAAGGAGAGAAGCAACCTGGAATATAAGGAGAAACTTCCTGACAGTTAGAACAATTAACCAGTGGAACAACCTGCCTCCAGAAGCTGTGAATGCTCCAACACTGGAAGTTTTTAAGAAGAGACTGGACAGCCATTTGTCTGAAATGGTATAGGGTTTCCTGCCTGAGTAGGGTGTTGGACTAGATGACCTCCAAGGTCCCTTCCAACTTTATTATTATTATTATTATAGAATAGAATAGAGTAGAGTAGAGTAGAATAGAATAGAATAGAATAGAACAGAGCTGGAAGGGACCTTGGAGGTCTTCTAGTCCAGACCCCTACTCAAGCAGGAGAACCTATAGCATCTCAGACAAGTGACTGTCCAGCCTCTTCAAACAGACAAGGCGGCCTTCTACCGGAAACTTTTCTAGCCATTCCCACCATCCTGGGTGCGGGAAGACTCTCACTTCTTATTCCCTTTTGTTCTTCCCCACGTTCAGCTGCGGGACCTGAGACACGAAAACCTGAACCTCTTTATAGGCTTCTTCCATGACACTGGGATTTTTGCTGTCGTCTCACAGCACTGCGCCCGCGGGAGTCTCGAGGACCTTCTCCGTAACGAGGACATGAAACTGGACTGGATGTTCAAATCCTCCTTGCTGCTGGACCTTATCAAGGTGCCCGGGAAAGAGATTTAGCTGTCCTGAGCTTAGCAGAAACATGAGGCTGGGATGAGGAACGTTCATTCACCCGCGTTGAGAAAAGGGTTGGTGGCCCTCAAAGTTGGTAGAGATGGACAACTTTGGGACCAGTATGGATGGCCCAGCTAGAGAATTCGCAGATGGTTCCTACAGTAGCTACTGGAGGACTCGAAGAAGTGGGTGGTCCTCAAAGTTGGTAGAGATGGACCACTTTGAGACCCTCAAGGATGGCTCAGCGAGAGAATGTGCAGATCTTTCCTGCAGTAGCTTCTGGAGGACTTGAAGACTTGAAGAAGTTGGTGGCCCTCAAAGTGGGTAGAGATGGACAACGTTGGGACCATTAAGGATGGCCCAGCTAGAGAATTCGAAGATGATTCCTACAGTAGCTATTGGAGGACTTGAAGAAATGGGCCCTCAAAGTGGGTAGAGATGGACAACATTGGGACCATCAAGGATGGCCTGCTAGAGAATGTGCAGATCTTTCATGCAGTAGCTTCTGGAGGACTTGAAGACTTGAAGAAATTGATGGCCCTCAAAGTTGGTAGAGATGGACAACTTTGGGACCATTAAGGATGGCCCAGCTAGAGAATTCGAAGATGGTTCCTACAGTAGCTACTGGAGGACTTGAAGAAATGGGCCCTCAAAGTTGGTAGAGATAGACAACTTTGGGACCATTAAGGATGGCCTGTTAGAGAATGTGCAGATCTTTCCTGCAGTAGCTTCTGGAGGACTTGAAGAACGTTCTCAGTTCTTGCTTTCAACCACTATCAATCAGGACCTGTGGGCATCTGAAGCTCTTAAGAAACAAATTCAAGGTTTCAGACATGGAGAGATCTGCCTATCATGATCAAACATGGTTCTAAGAGGGAGAACGTGTAGGAAAACCCACTGATAGTTAAAAATATTTTTTAGGATGACCAGAATGTTTTCTTCCTGAGATTATGATGGCATAGAGTCCTCATATAATTGTATGGATTGCCCTGATCAGAAAGAACATGCAGTCCTCAGTTAGTGACTGCCTCGTTCAGTGACTGTTCATAGTTACAGTGGTCATGATAAAGTAACTTCACAACCAATCCTCACAGAGGTAGTCCATGACTTAGAATAGAATAGAATAGAATAACATAAAAATAGAATAAGAATAAGAATAGAATAATAAAATACAGAATAGAACAGTAAAATACAAATAGAATAGAATAGAATAACATAAAAATAGAATAAGAATAAAAATAGAATAGAATAGAATAGAATAGAATAGAATAGAATAGAATAGAATAGAATAGAATGGAATAGAATTACAGAATAGAATAGAACAGAAAATATGGAATAGACTAGACTAGACTAGACTAGACTAGAATATATGGAATGGAATAGAATAGAATAGAATAACATAAAAATAGAATAAGAATAAAAATAGAATAGAATAGAATAGAACAGAATAGAATAACATAAAAATAGAATAAGAATAAGAATAGAATAGAATAGAATAGAACAGAATAGAATAACATAAAAATAGAATAAGAATAGAATAGAATGGAATGGAATGGAATAGAATTACAGAATAGAATAGAACAGAAAATATGGAATAGACTAGACTAGACTAGACTAGAATAGATTATATGGAATGGAATAAGGAATTGAATGGAATAGAATAGAATAGAATAATAAAATACAGAATAGAATAGAATAACATAAAAATAGAATAAGAATAAGAATAGAATAGAATTACAGAACAGAACAGAACAGAATAGAATAGAATAATAAAATACAGAATAGAATAGAATAGAATAGAATAATAAAATACAGAATAGAATAGAATAGAATAGAATAGAATAGAATAGAATAATAAAATACAGAATAGAATAGAATAGAATAGAACAGAATAGAATAGAATAGAATAGAATAGAATAGAGCTGGAAGGGACCTTGGAGGTCTTCTAGTCCAGCCCCCTGCTCAGGCAGGAGAAACTTATAACAGTTCATTTAATGACCATTCAAAGTTACAACGGCACTGAAAAAAAAGATTTATGACCGGTTTTCACATTTACGACCGTTGCAGCATCCCCATGGTCATGGGACCAATATTCAGACGTTCGGCCACTCTGTTTCATACATATGTCGGTCGCAGTGTCCCGGAGTCACGTAATCCCCTTTTGCGACCTTCCGACAAGCAAAGTCAACGGGGAAGCCAGAATCACCGAACAACCGGGTTACTAACTTAACAACTGCAGCGATTCGCTTAACAACCACGACAAGAAAAAGTCGTAAAATAGGGCAAAACTCACTTAACAAATGTCTCGCTTAGCGACATAAATTTTGGGCTCGATTATGGATGTAAATGGAGGACGACCGGTATTTTTATAACCTTCACGGGCCCGAAAAGCAAAGGAGAGCTGAATGATCGTAAGCAGAATCCTGGTTTTGCTTTGTTTAGTGACTAAATTGCTGGTGCTAACTGTGGTCGCTCAACGAGGACTTACCCGCATTTCGACGTGGGCCAGACCCACTCACCTCTTCTTCTTTTTTCCCCCCCCCCTCCTTCAGGGAATGAAGTATTTGCACCATCAGGAATTCCCTCACGGCCGGCTGAAGTCTCGGAACTGCGTGGTGGACGGCCGTTTTGTCCTGAAAGTCACGGATCATGGATACAATGAATTGTTGGAAGCTCAGAAAGTGACCCGGGATCCGATGAAGCCTGAGGGTCAGTAGGGAAACATGGGAATGAGGAGGGAATTAGGTGGGCTGATAAAAAGTCTAGGACATATAGGTGGTCCTCGACTTTCAACAATTCATTTGGTGACCATTCGAAGTGGCGACAGCACTGAAAAAAAGAAACTGAAGTCCTAAATCAGGGGTAGGCAACCGTGGCTCTTTTATGACTCGTGTTAGAGTCATAAAAGTTAGAGTGCAGGCCACTTTAGCTGACTGTGTTCAGCAGGTCAGCGGTTCAAATCTCACCGGCTCAAGGTTGACTCAGCCGGTGTGTGTGTGTGTGTGTGTCTATATATATATATATATATATATATATATATATATATATATATATACACACACACACACACACACACATACACACACACACACACACACACATTGCATATATATATATATATATATATATATACACACACACACACACACACACACACACACACACACACACACATTGCTTACTGGTGTACACCGCTTGCACTTAAAGCGGTATATAAGTCTCATAAATAAATTAAATAAATTAAATCCCAGAATTCCTGAGCCAGCCATGCTGAGGGGAAAGGGAGAGGTTTCCAAGCTGAGCCATGCTGGCTCAGGAATTCTGGGAGTTGAAGTCCACGAATCATCAAGGGAGCCATAGTTCCCCCTTGTTGGCTCAGGAATTCTGGGAGTTGAAGTCCACAAGTCATAAAGAGGGCCATAGTTCCCTCACACTGGCTGGGGAATTCTGGGAGTTGAAGTCCACAAGTCATAAAGGGGGCCATAGTTCCCTCACGCTGGCTGGGGAATTCTGGGAGTTGAAGTCCACAAGTCATAAAGGGGGCCATAGTTCCCTCACGCTGGCTGGGGAATTCTGGGAGTTGAAGTCAACAAGTCATAAAGGGGGCCATAGTTCCCCCTTGTTGGCTCAGGAATTCTGGGAGTTGAAGTTCGCAAGTCATGAGGGGGGCCATAGTTCCCCCTTGTTGGCTCAGGAATTCTGGGAGTTGAAGTCCACGAGTCATCTAAGGGTCATAGTTCCCTCACGCTGGCTAAGGAATTCTGGGAGTTGAAGTCCACCAGTCATCAAAGGGTCATAGTTCCCTCACGCTGGCTCAGGAATCCTGGGAGTTGAAGTCCACGAGTCATCAAGGGAGCCATAGTTCCCTCATGCTGGCTGGGGAATTCTGGGAGTTGAAGTCCACGAGTCCTAAAAGAGCCAAGGTTGCCCACCCCTGTCCTAAATGTCTACGGAGATTCTCAGTTATCCAGGTGGTGGTTGTCCCAAAAGTGCTTTTTTCCAGGAGACAAACTGGACTTTGTTGTTTTTCTCTTTGAAGACGTTTCGCTTCCCATCCCAGAAGCTTCATTAACTAACTGGATTGGTGGGGAATGGAAAGATTTATATTCCTTTCAAACAGCTGGCCCTTTGCCTTCTTTTAGATCAGTGGTTCTCAACCTGTGGGTCGGGACCCCATTTGGGGTCGAACGACCATTTCACGGGGGTCGCCAAACAACGCAGTCCGCCATTTTTTTCTCCCTTTTCCTTAGCTGTGCTCCTCCCTTTTATTCTATTGGCTTTTGAAAGCCAATAGAACAGACTCTCTTGAATAGAGTCTAATTCTATTGGCTTTCCAAAGCCAATAGGAATTGTCCAGGCTGTCTCTGCCCTGCTGAGCCCATCAAAAGTCCCATTCTGCAAATGGTGCTGCACCAGTTGAGTAGCCCTCGACTTACGACCGGTTGAGTAGTCCTCAACTTACGACCAGTTGGGGGTCGTGGCATTAAAAAGGTTGAGAACCACTGGTTTAGAGAGCCATTGAGGCCTATTGGAGGTTTACCTGTGTCCTCAGGGTCACCTGAGCGGTGCAAATGGGTGTGGAGCCTTCTTGGCTGCAGGATGTCTTCTGCCCTGGGTCCCTCCCCTGTTGAAGACGGGCGCCAGGCTGTTGGGGGATGAGGTTCTGAGTTGTCTGCGACTCAAGCTGAAGGCCAGATGGTTCCTGTAGTCCTCAATGTTTCCGGTTTGCATTTAGAACAGCGTGAATAGATTAGAAGAGCGGGAAGGGACCTTGGAGGTCTTCTAGCCCAACCCCTCCCCCCCCCCGATTTTATTCCACCAGACCGTTTCTGGACGGCGCCAGAATTGCTGAGGAACCCGGCGCTGGAACGGAAAGGCACCTTCCGGGGAGACATTTACAGTATCTCCATCATTATTCAAGAAGTCATTTGCCGCGCGGCGCCTTACTGCATGCTGGAGATGAGCCCGGAAGGTAATGAGAGGAGACCGAGGAAGAGAAGGCCAGTTGTGGTTCGGGGGTTGGCATCAGAAGACCCAGTTGTCCCATCTCTCAGGTCCTCGCAGAGGTGGGAAGCCCACCTGCTGGCTTGGACCCAGAGCAAACGCCGGTCCTTCTGGCTTTGTGGCTTCGTTCCTGGTTAACGGTGGTCCTTCTGCCTATGTCCCAGACCGGGAGAGGACCGTGCTTTGGGTGCCAACCTTGTGCTCTTCCCAATATCGATAATTTTTCTTCCCTGTAACCCGGTTGTACCGGAATCGTTTTGCCTATTAAGATATGAGATCACGTAGAGAAGCAAGCGGTGAACGCGCCTGAGGCACAAAAGCTGGGTGACTTTGGGCCAATCGCCAGGAGGCCGGGAGTTCTAGTCCCGCCTTAGGCAGGAGAGTCAGCGGGGTGACTTTGGGCCAATCAGCAGGAGACTGGGAGTTGTAGCTCTGCCTTAAGTATGAAAGGGGACAGGGTGACTTTGGACCAATCACCAGGAGACTGGGAGTTCTAGTCCCGCCTGAGGCAGGAGAGTCAGCTGGGTGACTTTGGGCCAATCAGCAGGAGACTGGGAGTTCTAGCTCTGCCTTAAGTATGAAAGGGGACAGGGTGACTTTGGACCAATCACCAGGAGACTGGGAGTTCTAGTCCCGCCTGAGGCAGGAGAGTCAGCTGGGTGACTTTGGGCCAATCAGCAGGAGGCTGGGAGTTCTAGCTCTGCCTTAAGTATGAAAGGGGACAGGGTGACTTTGGACCAATCAGCAGGAGACTGGGAGTTCTAGTCCCGCCTTAGGCAGGAGAGTCAGCTGGGTGACTTTGGGCCAATCAGGAGGAGACTGGGAGTTCTAGCTCTGCCTTAGGCAGGAGAGTCAGTTGGGTGACTTTGGACCAATCATCAGGAGACTGGGAGTTCTAGTCCCGCCTTAGTCATGAAAGATGGCAGAGTGTCTCCTTCAACCAGCAACTTTAATAATTTAAATTACTAAATTCCTCTCCCAATTATAGTCGTGATTCCAGGACTACCTGAAATAGAGATATTATGTTCCTTCACAGTTCCTATTGTTGAATGAAAAATCTTTCATCAGGGTCCAGTCCAAGCCGGGAATAATCAAAATGGAGATTGCTTTAGAAAGAAGGTTGCAGTATATTGAAGAGGACAGCCAGACAAAATTCAGAATTCAGAATAGGCTAGAGCTGGAAGGGACCTTGGAGGTCTTCTAGTCCAGCCCCCTGCTCAAGCAAGATGGCTCTGGGAAAAACCGACCACATGGAGCAGGGAGTGGGGGGTTTTTATACCTTCTTGGGCTTTTGTTTGGAGTTGTTCTTGTGGCACGGACTTTGATCTGAGTCTGAGTGTGCCTTTCTGGTATTCTGATGGTGGTGGGTGAATCCTATTGTGTCCCAAAGTTCATATCCTGCTTCCCTGGGGCTGTGGCTGATGACTATGTCCTGTGTTGGATTTTTTGGTGTGAGGGATTGTTGATTCTAGGAGTCTTTGTGTTTCTAATCCCATCAACTTCCTGGCTCCCATCTTTCTGACAAGATTATCACATCTACATTTATGCAGAGCTAGTTTCTGTTTGGGGCAGAGAGACTTGGGTGTGTGTGTGTGTGTGTGTGTGTGTGTGTGTGTGTGGTTGGTTGGTTTCTGCCTTTAAGATCCTTTGGGGAAATACAACATTCTGCCTTTTTCATATTTTCTACGGATGCTTCCCACACTAGTATGGGTTGGAGCTATTCCTTTGGTGGGGGGTATCCAGGGGGAATGATGGGATTTGTGCCGAGAACGTCTGGAGCATTTTGTCTTTGTCCAAGCAGAGATCATCAAGAAGGTGAAGAAGCCCCCTCCTTTTTGCCGTCCCTCGGTCTCCATCGACCAAGCGCCGGTAGAATGCATCCAGCTGATGAAGGAATGCTGGAGCGAACAGCCGGAAAGAAGACCAAACATCAACCAAGTCTTTGATCAGGTGATGTGAACCCAGGAACGGGGGCTAAGTGACCGGGGGGAAGGAGTCAGAACACAGACTAACAAGAGTTGGAAGGGACCTTGGAGGTCTTCTAGTCCAGCCCCCTGCTCAGGCAGGAGATCCTACACCATTTCAGACAAGTGGCTGTCCAATCTCTTCTTAAAAACCTCCGGTGATGGAGCGCCCACAATATCTGGTGGCAAGCTATTCCACTGGTTAATTGTCCTCGCTGTCAGGAAGTCTCTCCTTAGTTCTAGGTTGCTTCTCTCCTTGATTAGTTTCCGTCCGTTGCTTCTTGTCCAGCCTTCAGGCGCTTTGGAGAATAGCTTGACTACCTCTTCCCTGTGATAGCCCCTCAACTGTTGGAAGACTGCTGTCATGTTCCCCCAGTCCTTTTCATTAAACTAGACAAGATGATAGATGATAGATAGATAGATAGATAAATAGATAGGTAGGTAGGTAAGTAGATAGGTAGGTAGGTAAGATAGGTAGGTAAGTTAGATAAATAGATAGATAGATAGATAGATAGATAGATAGATAGATAGATAGAGATAATGATAGATAGATAATGATAGATAGATAGATAGATAGATAGATAGATAGATAGATAGATAGAGATAGATAGATGATAGATAGGTTGGATAGATAGATAGATAGATAGATAGATAGATAGATAGATAGAGATCATAGAAATAGACAAATGATAGATAGATACAGACAGACAGCTAGATAGTGATAGATCATAGAGACAGACAGATGATAGATAGATAGATAGATAATGATAGATAGATGATAGATAGGTTGGATAGATAGATAGATAGATAGATAGATAGATAGATAGATAGATAGATAGATAGTTAGATAGATAGTCAAATAGGTAGGTAGGTTGATTGGTTAGATAGATAGATAGATAGATAGATAGATAGATAGATAGATAATGATAGATAGATGATAGATAGGTTGGTTAGATAAATAGATAGATAGATAGTGATAGATTATAGAGATAGACAGACAAATAATAGATAGATAGATAGATAGATAGATATGGATAGATGTAGAGATATTTAAATATTAAATAAATATGCTGTATATTAAATATTTGATATTGGAGGGACTGCCGCAGTGAAGAGGGGGGTCAATCTCTTCTCCAAAGCAGCTGAAAGCAGAAGCAACGGATGCAAACTCTTCACAGAGAGAAGCAACCCTGGAACCAACGAGAAACTTCCTGACAGCGAGAACCATTAACCAGTGAAACAACTTGCCTCCAGAAATCGTGGGCGCTCCATCCCTGGAGGGTTTTAAGAAGAGACTGGACAGTCCCTGGTCTGAAACGGTATAGGTTCTCCTGCTTGAGCTGGAGGTTGGACTAGAAGACCTCTAAGGCCCCTTCCAACTCTGTCGTTCTGTTGTTCTGTAATCTCCCTTTCATACAGAAAAATGTAGTACGTGTCAAAGGTGAACAGTGCCTCGAATGTTCTTTTGAAGAGTTTCATCTGTCGTAACGACGACAGTACGTATATCATTTAATACTGAGATATAACGACAGACTCGGCTTCTCTATCTCTTCCTGTTCTTCTCCCACAGTTTAAGGGCATCAACAAAGGCAGGAAGACCAACATCATCGACTCCATGCTACGCATGCTGGAGCAATATTCCAGCAACTTGGAAGACTTGATCCGGGAGAGGACCGAAGAGCTGGAAGTTGAGAAGCAGAAGACCGACAAGTTGCTGACGCAGATGCTGCCCCCGTGAGTCTCTCTAAATCAGTGGTTCTCAATCTTTTTAATGCCGCAACCCCCAACCGGTCGTAAGTCGAGGACTACCCAACCGGTCATAAGTGGAGGACTTTCCCTGCCCGGGAGCGCCGCACATGCATGGTGCTGCCCCCTGCACTGGCCGTAACTGGCAAGGGGCAGTGACGGCGCAGGGCGACCACCGGCTGGGCCACCAGCTGGCCCAGCCCAAGGGAGGTAAGGCATCCGCCGGGCCCCACGCATGCCAGCAACCCTCCGTGCGCCCGCCGGCCTCCCACCTCCCACCCCTGGCCCTCTTTTACTTACATTTTTAGTAGTTGCTCAGCAGGGAGGGGTGGAAACTTCCAGACAGCTCGCCTTCGCTGCGGACAACTTGCAGCGCCGTTTGCAGAATGGGACTTTTGGCGGGCTCAGCAGGGCAGAGACAGCCTGGACCATTCCTACTGGCTTTTGAAAGCCAATACAATTAGACTCTATTCAAGAGAGTCTCTTCTATTGGCTTTCAAAAGCCAATAGAATAAAAGGGAGTAGCACAGCTAAGGAAAAGGGGGAAAAAATGGCGGACTGCGTTGTTTGGCGACCTGTGAAATGGTCGTTCGACCCCAAATGGGGTCCTGACCCACAGGTTGAGAACCGCTGCTCTAAATCCAAAAGATCTGCAGTGGGGAAGGTGGAGACCAGGTCCCCGACTACAGGTGTTCTCGGAGAGTCCTACAGATTTACAGACCCCCCCCCCCAGAATTGCCAGGTTCCAGTTAGGTTCCCGAGACCAACCCTCTGCTCAAATAGGAATCCAAATTAAAGTAGAAAGAGGTTCAGACGCCATGGGGATGTTTGCAACAAAGGGGCATTCAGACCCAGAACGTGAACGGAAGCCACGATGTAAAAAAGATGCTGAGACTCTAGAAAGAGTGCAGAGAAGAGCAACAAAGAGGATCAGGGGACTGGAGGCTAAAACATACAAGGAACGGTTGCTGGAATTGGGGATGTCTAGTTTAATGAAGAGAAGGACGAGGGGGGACAGGATGGCAGTGTTCCAGTATCTCAGGGGCTGCCCCAAAGAAGAGGCAGTCAAGCTATTTTCCAAAGCGCCTGAAGGCAGGACAAGAAGCAACGGATGGAAACTAAGCAAGGAGAGAAGCAACCTGGAACTAAGGAGAAACTTCCTGACAGCGAGAACAATTAACCAGTGGAACCACTTGCCTCTAGAGGTTGTGGGTGCTCAAATATTGGAGTTTTTTAAGAAGAGACCAGACCGCCATTTGTCTGAAATGATACAGGGTCTTGTGCTTGAACAACAGGTTGGAGTAGACTAGAAGACCTCTAAGGTTCCTTTTACCTCTGTTGTTCCGTTATTCAGATATTGATTTCCTGCCAACTTGAACTTAACTTAATTTACTTAATTTAACAACTTAACTTGATTTAACTTAATAACTTAACAACAACTTAACAATTTAACTTAACAACTTAACTCAACTTAACTGAACTGAACTCAACTAACTCAACTCAACTCAACTCAACTTAACAACAACAATTTAACTACTTAACTTAACTTAAAACTTGACTTAACTTAACAACTTAACTTAACAACAACTTAACTTAACAACTTAATAACTTAACTTGACATAATAACAACTTAACAACTTAACTTAACAACTTAACTCAACTGAACTGAACTCAACTAACTCAACTCAACTCAACTCAACTTAACAACTTAACAATTTAACAGCTTAACAACTTAACTTAACTTAAAACTTGATTTAACTTAACTTAACAACTTAACTTAACAACTTAACAACTTAACTTAACAACTTAACTTCTTAACTTAACAACTTAACTCAACTTAACTCAACTGAACTCAACTGAACTCAATTCAACTTAACAACTTAACAACTTAACTTAAAACTTGACTTAACAACTTAACTTAACAACAATTTAACAACTTAACTTAACTTAGCAACTTAACAATAACTTAATGTAACAACTTAACTTAACTTAACTTAACTTAACTTAACTTAACTTAACTTAACTTAACTTAACTTAACTTAACTCTATTTAACTTAATCTATTGAAAGATTCAGTTAATATGCTGGCTAAGAATCCCTTTATTCAAACAAATTTGGGAGGGAATAGGTTGAGCAAGCCCACTTTGCAAGACTGCCATATTTTTGCAAATTTGCCCAGCATTATTTATTTGGTATTTTCATGCTAATCGGCCCCATCAATTGACATTTCTGCTTGTCATCTCTCCAGTTCTGTGGCCGAGGCCCTGAAGACGGGTGCACCAGTAGAGCCCGAATATTTTGAAGAGGTGACCTTATATTTCAGCGACATTGTGGGCTTCACCACCATCTCGGCCATGAGTGAACCCATTGAAGTGGTTGACCTGCTCAACGATCTGTACACCCTCTTTGATGCCATCATTGGCTCCCATGATGTTTACAAGGTGAAAGATAGATCTGTCTTCTTTGTTATCATTGTGATGGGCGGAAGATAGCTTGCGAACGAAGGCGAATATCCGTGTCCCAGGATAATGTTGCGGGATCCAATCTGAGTCGGTCACCGGGACCCAGAGGTTTAGGTATTCTGAGCTGTTGGACTCATACTGGAGCCCAACTTCAGGGTACTTCTCAGATTGTGTGTTCTGGGGTAATCTGTATGTGTGGTGTTTATATGGTGCCTGTTGTGTGTGACAGTTGTTGATTGGGGTATTGAAGGCTGGCTATTAAGTCGTTGGTTGCTGTTTCCTTGTGCTGCCACACAGTCACCTCCTAAGCACTTGATACGCTGGTGGTAAATTAGCATTCCTTGTTGACTGACTTTCCCAGGCTTCGACCACTTCCCTGGCTGTTTTTGTCCCTGTTCGTCCAACAATCTGAATAGCTGCGAAATTGAATGGATATCCTTGTTCATTGCAATGCGTTAGCTTGGTGGAGGCAGGGATGGGGAGGAACAGGATACTACCATAGGTGGCTTTGATGCTTGGTGCCCTCGTACAAAGATCATATTCTCTGCTGGTTGGCTTTTCAGCGAGTTGATGCTTCTTGGAAGCGAAGATGTAAGCCTGGGGAACTAGATTTCTACAAAGTTGGAGGACCTTATGGGAAAAAAAGGGCTGTGGTGCATATCAATCTAAGTTGCTTTTGTTTGAAACACCTCTCTTCTTTTAGATTCAATCTCTGCTAGTGTGAGAGGTTAGGAGAGGTTGATCAAGAATTGGGAGGAATATTAGATATAAACAATCAACAGGGAAAAGAGAAGAGAAGAGCCACGAAGATGTTGAGGGGGCTGGAGGCTAAAACATACAAAGAACAGTTGCAGGAACTGGGTTTGTCTAGTTTAATGAAAAGAAGGACTGGGGGAACATGATAGCAGTCTTCCAATATCGCAGGGGCTGCCCCAAAGAAGAGGGAGTCAAGCTAGTCTCCAAAGCACCTGAAGGCAGGACAAGAAGCAACAGATGGAAACTAATCAAGGAGAGAAGCAACCTGGAATTAAGAAGGAATTTCCTGATAGTGAGAACAATTAATCAGTGGAACGGCTTGCGTGCAGAAGTTGTGGGTACTCCATCACTGCAGGTTTTTAAGGAGAGATTGGACAACCATTTGTCTGAAATGGTATAGGGTCTCTTTGGGAGGTTGGACTAGAAGATCTCCAAAGTCCCTTTCAACTCTTCTTAAGAGAAGAATTTGTTTGGAGATTAGGTCATAAAGAGTAGCTCTGTTCTGTCTACAACAAACTCAGGAAGAAATTATTAAATAGTCAGAGAGACTCTGCCTTGAACTCATTGATAAATGAGGTTGGGAAGTTACTGATGCCGTTTCCAAGAGCCGGTACTTTACCCCTGATTTTTGTACTAACTGCCCAAATGTGGCTTAACTCTTAAATGTGATTTTTGACTACAAGTGCTTGATGCCTCACTTCCCACCTCCTTGGCTAAGCCCAGTCCCCCCTTTTTCAAGACCTTTCGGCTGTTTTCACCGCTCCTGTTCTGACTGACAGGTGGAGACCATTGGCGACGCCTACATGGTGGCTTCCGGGCTGCCGAAACGGAACGGGAACCGACACGCGGGTGAAATCGCCAACATGTCCCTCGATATCCTCAGTGCGGTTGGCACTTTCAGGATGCGCCACATGCCAGACGTACCTGTCCGGATACGCATCGGCTTGCACTCTGGTAAGGTCATGAGGATTGTCGTGGCAAGGCCGAAGAAGGTCCCTTTTTTTGGTGGGTCTCTGCCTTTCCCTTCCTTAAAAATAAGACGGGTACCGAAAAGCGGTTGAAACCCACTTCCAAAGTTTAAGGAACTGAATTTGTCTGATGTCCTTGACAGGGCCCTGCGTGGCTGGCGTGGTGGGACTGACCATGCCACGCTACTGTCTCTTCGGGGACACGGTCAACACGGCCTCGCGGATGGAGTCCACCGGCCTTCGTGAGTAATGCATCCTTGGGTTGGAAGGAGCTCGCCGATTGAACGGCCGAGTGTCCAGAGGGAAAACCCACCTAGGGAACACGGGTGAACGAGTTTTGCAAATCCAGTTGTTATCCTTCTGCCCCGGACAACACACTTTCTTTGATCTACAACCAGCCCACGAACCCCTCAGAATCCAAATCAACCGCTCAGCCAACTGGAGACAGCACCAACCCTCAACCATCCCGCGCAATCCCCCACTCCCACCAGCAGTTCATCTTTCTTTCTTTTTTTATTATTATTTTTAACCAACAAAACAAAACAAAGCAAAACATAACACACATATACACACACAGTATATACTCCTCCCCCCTTTTTTAACAGCGATTATGCAACGGTAATCTTCTATTATTTACATTTCCCCCCTTATTCGTCTTTAGAATATTTGTCATTGCCCCGTTGTTTCTTATTTACATTTTTCTTCCTTCATATTCTACTTCTTACTAAGAATAATTCATATTATTATTATTATACATTCTTATACACATATTTTCACTTTTTCCCTTTCCATATTTATTCTCCTCTATTATTTCTAGTCTCCAACCAGTCATACCACTTGTTCCATGTTAGATAGTACTCTGTGTCTTCCTTTTCTTTTATCTCTTTTGTTAATTTGTCCATCTCAGCACAGTCCAGGATTTTTCTTATCACTTCTTCCTCTGATGGTATATTCTCATTTTTCCAGCACTGTGCCTATGCTATTCTTGCCGCCATTATTATATGTAAAATTAAGTACCGTATTTCTTTACTATATTTTCTGTTTAAAATACCCAACAAAAAGATCTCTGGTTTCCAGGCTACGGGTTGGTCTATTATTTCTTCGATCCATTTTCTTATGGTAGTCCAGTAATTTTTTCGCACAGCAGTTCACCTTTCAATGACCCTAACCCAGGGGTCGGCAACCTTAAACACTCAAAGAGACACTTGGACCCGTTTCCCAGAGAAAAGAAAACATTGGGAGCCGTAAAACGTGCCCGCGCGTGCGCGAGGGGGGGGGCTTGATTGAAGAGTTTAATTAAAAAGAAATAGAGGCAGCTGTGCATAAGTTCTCTCTCTCTCTCTTTCTCTCTCTCTCTCTTTCCCTCTCTCCGATCTTCTGCTCACCTGGCAAGCTGGCTTCACGCTGTTCTCCGACTAGCTGACACACATTCTTCTTGGATTGGCTCTCTCCTGTCCTTGGTCTGCCAGTCCTCTTCCCCCACTCAGTGTGTGTGTGTGTGTGTGAGAGAGAGAGAGAGAGAGAGAAAGAGAGAGAGAGAGATAGAGAGAAAAGGGAAATGCAAGTGCCTCTTTCTCTCTCTCTCTCTCTCTCTCTCTGCAAATGGCGGAGGAGGCTGAGAGCCGTAGGAGAAGGCTCAAAGAGCCACATGCAGCTCCGGAACCGCGGGTTGCCGACCCGTGCCCTAACCTGATGTAATCTCCCCGTCACAAGACCCTCTCATTCAGTGGTGGGGTTCAAATATGTGAACCACCGGTTCTCTGTGTGGATGCCGCTTCCGGAAGCCCGTTCTGGGCCTGAGCAACAAAAACACATTAGCTACTGGTTCTGCCGAACTGGTGCGATCCGGCTGAATCTCACCACTGCTCTCACTGATGACTCACCCTGGACCTACTCACACCCTCCAAGGGCCCCGACCGAAAGTAACCTCCCCATCCCAAGACCCATCACCAGCCTTTCTCTGATGACTCACCACAAGACCCTCCCTTGACACTCCCACAACTGAAATAAATAGAAGAGCACTGACATAGACATCCCCTAAACACCACTGAAGAGATTTGTCTAGCCTGGTAACGAAACATACGGACACCAACCCACAAGCTCAGAGAACGGACCTCCGCCCTCATCCTCCACCTGAGCTACACATAGTCGCCACTATTGCAAACACAGCATCTTTGTCTGCGGAGAGTTGCAGATCGTCACGTTCTTTGCTTCCCCTCCAGGAATGTTGGCGAGCCAGTCAGGAGGAGAAGATCAAGCAGGGAACTAGTCTGGAATCCTTAAGTAAACACAAAAGGCGTAGGCCTGACCCTTCTTGAATGCCTTTATGTAGTTTTTCCTAGGTGAAACTTGTCATTCTGAGGAGATTCCTGCACTAGAGGCAGAGAACAGTGAAGTAGCTAGTTTGAACTCTACACGCGCGAGTCTGTTCGTTCGAACCTAACAAGGAAAGTCTGTAGGAGAGGGCCAAAACTGAACAACGAGATGGTTGAGACGACACAACCTAAGCTCTGCTTCTTTCAACGCACATTGCAGCTGCCCTCTCAGCTTTTCGGAACCTCCTCGGACCCACCCTGGCAATTGTGTTTTGCCGAATCCTGTCTAGGTTGAATTGCGATGTGCTTTTTAAACTCGGCGTTTCCAAGTGCGTGTTGCTGTGTGTTATTTCTGCAGCTTATCGAATCCACGTCAACCTGCGCACGGTCGAGATCCTGCATGCCCTGAAAGAAGGCTACAAGCTCGATTTACGAGGGAAAACGGAACTGAAGGTATCACAATTGTATTTGAAAGGTAGTATATGAAGCAACATCGCAGACGGAGAAAGAAAGAGGGGAAAAAGAAAGAGATGAAAAGTGGCAAAGAAACATATTGTGTATCAGATCAAAAGACAAAAACGAGCAGCGAAGATGTTTCTGGGGCTCTCTGAGATGGGTTGTTTTATTGCAGACATCTCATGACCCAACTAGGGAACATCATCAGTGCTAGAAGTATGGTTTGTGGAGTGGAAGGAGGAGGAGGAGGAGGGGGGAGGAAAATGGTAGGATTCTTGATGCTTTCTGAGCTTGACTGTTTGCATGCAGACGTTTCATTACCCAACCTTGTAACATGATCAGTGCTAGAAGGAAAAGGGGTTTTGCTCTTTGTTTATACACTAGTTATTTGCACTATTAGTGTTGGTGGAAACGGACTTGGAAGTTCCTTGCTTAGGCGGTTGACACCAAGCTATAAACATCACCCCAATTAAGGAACTACCAACTTAGACAATTAAACAGTAAACAACAGCCTAATTAAGGAATCACCAAAGAGACCTCCATAAACAGAGAGCAAAACCCTACCTCTGATGATGTTCCCTAGTTGGGTCATGAAATGCCTGCAAGAAAACCAAGTTCGGAGTGTATCAAAGACCACACAGTCCTCCTCCTCCTCCTCTTCCTCCTCCTCCCCCTCTTCCTCTTCCTCCTCCTCCTCCTCCTCCTTTCCACAAGCCCTACTCCTTTCTAGCACGGATGACGTTCCCTAGTTGGGTCATGAAACGCCTGCAAGAAAACCAAGTTCGGAGTGTACCAAAGACCACACAGTCCTCCTCCTCCTCCTCCTCTTCCTCTTCCTCCTCCTCCCCCTCTTCCTCCTCCTCCTCCTCCTCCTTTCCACAAGCCCTAGTCCTTTCTAGCACGGATGACGTTCCCTAGTTGGGTCATGAAACGCCTGCAAGAAAACCAAGTTCGGAGTGTACCAAAGACCACACAGTCCTCCTCCTCCTCTTCCTTTCCTCCTCCTCCCCCTTTCCTCTTTCCTCCTCCTCCTCCTCCTCCTCCTCCTCCTCCTCCTCCTCCTCCTTTCCACAAGCCCTACTCCTTTCTAGCACGGATGACGTTCCCTAGTTGGGTCATGAGACGTCTGCAAGAAAACCAAGTTCAAAGTGCAAGGACTACAGTTCTCCTCCTCCTCTTCCTCTTCCTCCTCCTCCCCCTCTTCCTCCTTCCTCCTCCCACAAGCCCTAATCCTTTCTAGCTACGTTCCCATGAAATTGCAAGAAAACCAAGTTCCGGAGTGTATCACAGTCCTCTTCCTCTTCCTCCTCCTCCCCCTCTTCCTCTCTTCCTCTCCTCCTCCTCCTCCTCCTTTCCTCCAAGCCCTACTCCCACAAGCCCTACTCCTTTCTAGCACGGATGACGTTCCCTAGTTGGGTCATGAAATGCCTGCAAGAAAACCAAGTTCGGAGTGTATCAAAGACCACACAGTCCTCCTCCTCTTCCTCTTCCTCCTCCTCCCCCTCTTCCTCTTCCTCCTCCTCCTCCTCCTCCTCCTCCTCCTCCTCCTCCTCCTCCTCCTCCTCCTCCTCCCCCCCACAAACTTCCTACTTCCGTCTAGCACTGATGATGTTCCCTAGTTGGGTCATGAGACGTCTGCAAGAAAACAACCAAGGTCAGAAAGCACCGAGGACCACCCTCCCCAGCCCAAAATTCAACCCTGAGCTACAAATAACAACTTCTATTGGTATAATCCACTAAAGGGGAAAAAAAATAACAGAAGTGCCTGTAAAAATGTAGGCAAAGTTGTGAGAATTTACTAAAAAATAAATTACAAAGGTTGCTGAAACAGGGCCAAGGTGGGGGTGGGGGGTGAGAACTGACTCGAGGTTAGAAAAAAACGGAGTGATGTTTCGCTTTTCCTCGATTTGATGCCTCTCGCTTCCTCTGTAGGGAAAAGGCACGGAAGATACTTACTGGCTGATCGGTCGGGACGGCTTCAGCAAACCTATCCCTACGCCCCCTGACCTGAAGCCAGGGTAAGAGAGCTGCTCATTTGTCACTTTGTGTGTGTATGCATATAGATATAGATATAGATATATATATACATATATGTGTATGTGTATGTCTCTTTTTCTCTCGCTTTCTATCTATCTCTCTATATCTCTTATCTCTATATCTATCTATCTACCTATCTGCCTGCCTGCCTGCCTGTCTGTCTGTCTACCTACCTACCTACCTACCTGTCTCTGTCTGTCTATCTATCTATCTGTCTGTCTGTCTGCCTGCCTGTCTGTCTGTCTGCCTGCCTGTCTGCCTGACTACCTACCTACCTACCTATCTACCTACCTGTCTCTGTCTGTCTGTCTATCTATCTATCTGTCTGCCTACCTGTCTGCCTGTCTACCTACCTACCTACCTACCTATACCTATCTATCTACCTACCTACCTATCTACCCATCTACCTACCTACCTACCTACCTACCTATCTACCTATACCTATCTATCTACCTACCTACCTACCTATCTACCTATCTATCTATCTACCTACCTACCTACCCATCTACCTACCTACCTACCTACCTATCTACCTATACCTATCTACCTATCTACCTACCTACATATCTACCTACCTATCTACCTACCTACCTATCTACCTACCTATCTACCTATACCTATCTACCTACCTACCTACCTACCTACCTATCTACCTACCTATCTACCTATACCTATCTACCTACCTATCTACCTATCTACCTATACCTACCTACCTACCTACCTACCTATCTACCTACCTATCTACCTATCTACCTATACCTACCTACCTACCTATCTACCTACCTATCTACCTATCTACCTATACCTACCTACCTACCTACCTACCTACCTATCTACCTATACCTATCTACCTACCTACCTACCTACCTATCTACCTATCTATCTATCTACCTACCTACCTACCTACCCATCTACCTACCTACCTACCTACCTATCTACCTATACCTACCTACCTACCTACCTACCTACCTACCTACCTATCTACCTACCTATCTACCTATACCTACCTACCTACCTACCTACCTACCTACCTACCTATCTACCTATACCTATCTACCTATCTACCTACCTACATATCTACCTACCTATCTACCTATACCTATCTACCTACCTACCTACCTATCTACCTATACCTACCTACCTACCTACCTACCTATCTACCTATACCTACCTACCTATCTACCTACCTATCTACCTATACCTACCTACCTACCTACCTACCTATCTACCTATACCTACCTACCTATCTACCTACCTATCTACCTATCTACCTATACCTACCTACCTACCTACCTACCTACCTATCTACCTATACCTACCTACCTATCTACCTACCTATCTACCTATCTACCTATACCTACCTACCTACCTACCTACCTACCTACCTACCTATCTACCTATCTACCTATCTACCTATACCTATCTACCTATCTACCTATACCTACCTACCTATCTACCTATACCTATCTACCTATACCTATCTACCTACCTACCTACCTATCTACCTACCTATCTACCTATACCTACCTACCTACCTACCTACCTGTCTCTGTCTGTCTATCTATCTATCTGTCTGTCTGTCTGCCTGCCTGTCTGTCTGTCTGCCTGCCTGTCTGCCTGACTACCTACCTACCTACCTATCTACCTACCTGTCTCTGTCTGTCTGTCTATCTATCTATCTGTCTGCCTACCTGTCTGCCTGTCTACCTACCTACCTACCTACCTATACCTATCTATCTACCTACCTACCTATCTACCCATCTACCTACCTACCTACCTACCTATCTACCTATACCTATCTATCTACCTACCTACCTACCTATCTACCTATCTATCTATCTACCTACCTACCTACCCATCTACCTACCTACCTACCTATCTACCTATACCTATCTACCTATCTACCTACCTACATATCTACCTACCTATCTACCTACCTACCTATCTACCTACCTATCTACCTATACCTATCTACCTACCTACCTACCTACCTACCTATCTACCTACCTATCTACCTATACCTATCTACCTACCTACCTACCTACCTACCTACCTATCTACCTACCTATCTACCTATCTACCTATACCTACCTACCTACCTACCTATCTACCTACCTATCTACCTATCTACCTATACCTACCTACCTACCTACCTACCTACCTACCTACCTACCTACCCATCTACCTACCTACCTACCTACCTATCTACCTATACCTACCTACCTATCTACCTACCTACCTACCTACCTACCTATCTACCTATACCTATCTACCTATCTACCTACCTACATATCTACCTACCTATCTACCTACCTATCTACCTATACCTATCTACCTATACCTATCTACCTACCTATCTACCTATCTACCTATACCTACCTACCTACCTACCTACCTACCTACCTACCTACCTACCTACCTACCTACCTACCTATCTATCTCCTCCAGGGCAAGCAGCCACGGCATCAGCATGGATGAAATTCCTGAGGACCGGAGGGAGAAGTTACAGAAAGCTCGTCAGGGACAGAAAATATAAGCTGGGAAGAAGACCGTTGCATGAAGCCAGTTGTGATGGAGGTGAGACCTTGATGGAATAAGTTGTGTGCAAGGGCTGCTTTCATTGGTCCTGGCTTCAAAGCGGTGAGAGTAATTTAGGGACCCCTCCCTTTTCCTTGCCATGAAATGAATTATATATTATATTATATTATATTATATTATATTATATTATATTATATTATATTATTATATATTATATTATTATATATTATTATATTATATATTAGCAAGGGGCTGGATTAGAAGACCTCCAAGGTTCCTTCCAGTTCTATTCTATTCTATTCTATTCTATTCTATTCTATTCTATTCTATTCTATTCTATTCTATTCTATTCTATTCCTTATTTTTATTCTATTCTATTCTATTCCTTATTTTTATTCTATTCTATTCTATTCTATTCTATTCTATTCTATATTCCAATATCTATTCTATTCTATTCTATTCTATTCTATTCTATTCTATTCTATTCTATTCTATTCTATTCTACTCTATTCTCAATAGATTCTATTCTGTTCTGTTCTGTTCTGCTCTGTTCTGTTCTGTTCTATTCTATTCCATATTTTCTATTCTATTCTAGTCTATATAATTATTATATTCAGTTCATCTTGAATACATAGCATAATAGAGGGTCTTAAGAGGTAACTTTTTTTTCATTTTTCTGCAAAAAATAAAATAAAATAATAAAATAACATAACACAACATAAAATAAAATAATAAAATAAAATAACATAACATAAAATAATAAAATAAAATAACATAAAATAAAATAATAAAATAAAATCCACAAGATGTTCCCCTGTCTCTTCTCTGACCCTCGCCTCATCTCCTTCTCCTCTTTCTCCTGTCCCTCAAGGACATTCTCAAGAACTTCAGAGGCTGGAAGATGTCAGACTGGGGAAGGTTAATATGAAACGTCGAGACAATGAACATCAGAAAGACTTTTTTTTTTCATAACTTCATCACTCTTTTTTTTAAACCAGGTCAACCAATTTCCAGCTCTGTGGCTGGCCACCGCTCGTGTTTCCTGTTGAAGGCCTTTGGGCCAATCTGGTAGAAGAGGATGAATCCACAACTGGGCAGGGAGCCATCCCATAATAACCCAAAGGGATGCATCCCTTTCCCCCCGTATCGTCTGCTACTTTCAAACTTCTAGTGTCTGATGGAACTGTGGACGGTCTAGGACTTCTTCCTCACCCACTGTGATCAACGGTGAGATGCAGGCTGGGATTTGGGCCAACTAGGTCTTCAACATTTGAACATTTGAACCTGGTGGGATTTTGGCCAAGCCAGGAACGGCAGCTGCTCTTGACTTCCGTTGGGGACTTGGCTCGCTTTTGACAAGGATGGACGCCCGGATTCCATAACATTAATTATTTCCTTAGCAAAGAGGACAGGATGTGGAGAAGAACGGCTAACGAAGGGAAGACCATGATTTCAGAGAAATCGCGGGGAGATAATCCAGCTGGAACTGGCATTTGGGTGGCTTTGTGGACACCACACCACACCAAGAGACCTTCAAGGAGAATATGTTGATAGTCTTCTGATTTTCTAGAAGAAACCAAATCCATTAGAGATGAAGCTGGGATGACCCTTGGAGACTGTACAGCGAATGAGACAATATTCACGGACCCACTAACGGAAGTGGGACTTCAGCTCTGTTAGACAACGGTGCGGCCTCGAAGGAATATTTGTGACAATTTATATAAAAAAGGGCTTCCTTCTTAAAAAATTCATTTCCTCTTCTGAGCCAGGAGTCTGAATTTAATTTCATTTATCTCCTCCTCAAAAACAGCGGTAGAGATGAAAATTTAAAGTAGGAAGGGACCCCGTTCAGCTATTCTATGATCCAAGAATGTAACTTTTAGCTATTTTGAGGAGAAACAGGAAAAAACTGTATGAAATCTTGCGTATTTTTTTAATCTACTTGAGGGTGAGAGGCAAGGATGGATTTGGGGAAACGAGTTGCTTCAAAACTTCCTTCTGGAAAAGAATTATGTTTAAATACAGCATCTTGAAGTAACCGGTCATTATTAAGCAGTGTTTCTCCATTTTGGTAACTTTAAGTGGTGTGGACTTCAACTCCCAGAATCCCCCAGCCAGCCATGTTGGCTGGGGGATTCTGGGAGTTGAAGTCCACACCACTTAAAGTTACCAAAATGGAGAAACACGGTTGTATACCCTCCGAGCAGGCATCATAAATGCACACAGCCTTTCTCAACATTTCTGCATGACTTTGAATTTTCAAGATTGTAACCCGATTCTCGTGGCAATTTTCGAATCCAGCACTTTAAGATGTATGGATTTCAACTCCCAGAATTCTGCAAGAGGAGGGAAAAAACCACTCGGTCACAACCAAAGAGAAAACCAGAATATTATCTTTATGTAAACTGCTACAAAACCACCTTAAATTTAACTATTTGGAGTCTCCAGATTAGATCCGTAGTTTCAAAGTTATGGCTAAAATAATCCCATGACTGAATTTTAAAATTTACACTGTTGTAGGGCCATCTAAATATAAGATACAGATATATGAGATTATATTTTCTTGATGAGAAAATAAAAGGAACTAGCAAATATTTTGCTAACAGGAACAGACTCCTCTTTTTCTACGGGCCCGGCTTCAGAATCTCAAATATTTTCGTGCGGGTCCTCTGTGTAAAAATGTTCGTTTTCCTAAACGCCATTCGTGGGTTTGGTCTGTTTCATTGACTTAAAAATATATTTTGCGAATCTGCTGTGCTGTGGTTGGGATTGCTTTCCATTGGAGGAGATAGAGTGGATCGGGGCAGGGTTTGGGGCGAGGCTGAAGGGAGACGAGGGGGTACGTGTGTGAAGGGGTGCATGAAAGATCACATGGATTGTGTGGAGATCCTAGTAGACGCCCTTCAACTGGCAATGTCAAAAAGTGGGCCTTACTGCCAGACAAGCTAATAGTAAACAACCCAACGAAAGAAACTCCAAGACCCCTCTCACCAACACGGACAGGGCAAGCCACTAGAATATAAACTCAGAGCAAAACCCACTCCTTACTCACACTGATGTTGTTACCTAGTTGGGTCATGAAATGTCTGCAAGAAAATAACCAAGCTCAGAGAGCACCAAGGACCTCACAGTCGTTCTCCTCCTCCTCCTCCTCCTCCTCCTCCTCCTCCTCCTCCTCCTCCTCCTCCTCCTCCTCCTCCTCCTCCTCCTCCTCTCTGGTCCACAAACCCCATTCCCTTCTAGCATGGATGATGTTACCTAGTTGGGTCATGAAATGTCTGCAAAAAAAAACAACCAAGCTCAGAGAGCACCAAGGACCCCACAGTTGTTGTTGTCGTTCTCCTCCTCCTCCTCCTCCTCCTCCTCCTCCTCCTCCTCCTCCTCCTCCTCCTCCTCCTCCTCCTCCTGTCTGAGATGGTATAGGTTCTCCTGCTTGAGCAGAAGACCTCCAAGGTCCTTTTCAGCTTCATTTCTATTTCTATTTCTATTTATTCCTATTCCTATTCTACTCTATTCTCTTACTCCTATTCCATTCCCATTCCATTCCACTTCACTCCACTCCACTCCACTCCACTCCACTCCACTCCACTCCATTCTAATTCTAATTCTATTCTATTCTATTCTATTCTATTCTATTCTATTCTATTCTATTCTATTCTATTCTATTGTCTTAGGAACTGGGGCTTGAGGAAAGTTGCAAATGGACACTAGAGGGAGCCAAAACACCAGCAGTAAAAAATTAAAATGGCTAAGCCAGCCCAGAAGGGGAGAACCTCTCTGCATCAAACTCTCTGTGGTCAACCCACCAGGGGACCAATTCCTTGTGGGATGACTTGCCACAGCACAATTTAACAATTCACTTTAATCATTGAAAATCATTTTAATTTTTGTCATTCCCATTTCCTTTCGTTCCTCCTGTGCCATCCTTTCTTTAATGATCCAATCGTACCGTTTCTTCGGTATTAGTGTAAAGTTTACATGGGCCGAAACATTAATAATTAATGTACCAGAAAGGATACAGATTTAACCTGTTGATCGATATTAAAGATCCTCACAACGGCAAGCTTAATTTGACATCTGGTGAGTTTTACCTTTTTTTGTTTTTGATTTAAGAAATTTGAAATAGTGTCTCAAAAATCTAAAATAATAGCCAATGGGCAAAAAGCAGGGGGAGGGAGGAAGGATAAACTTTTAGCTTAATTTGACATCCGTTGAGTTTTATCTTTTTTGGGATTTAAGAAATTTTAAATAGTGTCTCACAAATATAAAATAATAGACAATAGGATTTGGGTTTGGCTAGCCTAAAGAAAAGAAGAAACAGGGGAGACATGATGGTAGAGTTCCAGTATTTGAGGAGCTGCCACAAAGAAGAGGGGGGTCATATTCACCAAAGCACCTGAAGATAGGACGAGAAACAATGGTTGGAAACTGATCAAGGAGAGAAGCAACCTGGAATTAAGGAGAAACTTCCTGACAGTGAGGACAATCAACCAGTGGAACAGCTTGCCACCAGAAATCGTGAGCGCTGGAGATTTTTAAGAAGAGACGGGACAGTCATTTTTCAGAAATGGTATAGGTTCTCCTGTTTAAGCAGGGGGCTGGACTAGAAGACCACGAAGGCCCCTTCCAGCTCTGTTCTATTCAAGTTAATTAACTCTGTTTGTGTTTGCATATGGAGTAGGTCTGGGGTTTGAGGAAGTTTGCTAGTTTGATTAACTCGGAGACCCTGATTCTCAGAGCCTTGTAGATTCTGTTCATATTCTAAGGCAGGGGTAGGCAACCTTGGCTCTTTTATGACTCGTGGACTTCAACTCCCAGAATTCCTGAGTCAGCCATGCTGGCTCAGGAATTCTGGGAGTTGAAGTCCACGAGTCATAAAAGAGCCAAGATTGCCTAGCCCTGTTCTAAGGGGAGATAGAAACCGTATAAAGAATGAAATATATTTGGAATATATAAAACTTCTCGCAATAATCTGGCGGGAAGCGGAGAGTGTGCTGCGATGGGTACCCATATTTTGATTCAACTCCCTTGGAAACACGTGTTAAAAATTCTGTTGTTGTCATGGTGGCGGCTGCCATCTTGATTTTTGGACTTCTCTTTAGATTCTCCCACCCCTCCAAACCTGATTCCAGAGAAATTTCTAGAGGGGATCCTAAGAAAACCAGTCTAACTTGATATGGACTTAACAACCTTATATTTTAAGATTAGGTAATTTCCCGGAGCAGCTGTTGGTGTAACCTGTTTGCATTCCAGCTAAGTGTCTCTTTCTTGAAGTGTCTGATTTTCAAGGTTGTGAAACAAGGGTAGGATGGCCTGACAAGAGCAGAGATTTATCTGGAAGATGAAACCAAAAGTAGCTTTATGAACACTTACAAACCATGTGAATTCGGTTGTTGCATCGGCAGTGTATTAAGAATGCAAAAAGCAGAAACACTGAATCAAGCCTGTAAATGGAGGCAGCTGACAGACTAAGGATAAGGGGGTAAAATGAATTACATTTGTTTGATAGGATTAAAACACAAGGAAGCCTGTATGTTAGACCCATTGCTAGCCATTGTGAAACAAACTAAACAAATCTAATAACAAAAGCACACAAAGCAAGCCTCTAAATTACAAAATGCTGTAAAACTGTATAAAAAAACTTTGTACTCATTAAATCAATTTGTCAGCTGTCCCAGAACTACCTGCTGTTGTTGGTTCTGCTCATCATTAAACCTTCTTTCCTAAGCAGTCAGCCTCCATTTTATTTCCAGTATCTTACTCCCGGCTTGGAACTGGACTTGATTTTTCTTTCAACAGCAGTCTTACAGTTGAAGTTCACCCATCTTAAAACATGATGGCTGGGGAATTCTGGGAGTTGAAGTCCACCCATCTTAAAGCACGCTGACTGGGGAATTCTGGGAGTTGAACTCCACCCATCTTAAAGCATTCTGGCTGGGGAATTCTGGGAGTTGAAGTCCACCCATCTTAAATCATCCTAGCTAGGGGAATTCTTATTCTTTTCTTATTCTTCCCCTTCATCTTGACCCCTTCACCTTTTTTTCATATATTTCTTTTGCAATCCAATCTTCATTCCTTCTCTTTTTAAAAAAAGACCAAGCTTTAGATCTCCTCATTTAGAAAAGTCTACAATTTTAGAGGACCCCAACGGTTAGATTCTGACCTACATTTGGCCTTGTATAGCTTAAGGACAATTAAGCCTACACTTAATTAAGCCTACAGCTTTTGCCAATAAAAAAGCGATACTTTCCTTAAACTGAAGCTTCACCAGCCGTAATTAAGCTTATGGCTTAAGCAGACATACTAATTGAAGCAATTTCAGATAGGTAAGTTCAGGATTGCCATCAAACCGGGAGGAGAGGTGTGGAAGTATACCGTGTGAGTTTAAATAATGCTATCTCTGTTTGTTTTGAATCAATTAAGAAAATAAGATTGGGTTAGAGGCAATATTCTGGAATAATGTCTCTGGCATATTGCCAAACGGAAGGATTCAGTCCAGTAAATTGTTCAGAGTCACTACATGAAATGGGCAGTTATATTATATTATCGATCATCGCACAGTCAGCCAGATGTTCAGACTGGATTTGGCATTTTGTCTACCTATCGAGTCCTTACCCAGGACCTGGGATAGGCAGATGTGGGTGTTTGATGGTATTACAGGTATCGTCGCAGGATGGAAGCAGTTCCTAGTAAGGCTGCCTTTTGCAATTGACTAATAGCGAATTTGTCAATGCCAATGGTGTTCAAGTGGTGCTCCAGTTGTTTTGGGATTGCACCCAAGGAGCCTATGACTATTGGTACTACCCTTGCTTGCTTTTGCCACAGTCTTTCTATTTCTATTTGTAGGTCTTTGCATTTTGTGATCTTCTCCAGTTCTTTCTCTTCTATTCTGCTATCTCCAGGCACTGCCACATCCACTATCCAGACTTTTTTGTCTTTCTTATCGACACTTGTTAAGTCTGGGTGTTATGTTGCAGGTGCTTGTCTGTTTGAATTCTGAAGTCCCAGAGCAGTTTAATTTTATCATTTTCTATGACTTTCTCTATTTTATGATCTCACCAGTTTTTGCTTACAGGCAAATGATATTTTTTGCAGATCTTCCAATGCACCATTGTTGCTACTTTGTAATGCCGCTGCTTGTAATCAGTTTGTGCAATCTTCTTGCAACAGCTTACCAAGTGGTCCACTGTTTCTTCAGCTTCTTTGCATAGGCGGCACTTACTGTCTGTTGCTGTCTTCTCAATTTTGACTTTGTATTATTATTATTATTATTATTATTATTATTATTATTATTATTATTATTATTACTACTACTACTACTACTACTACTACTACTACTACTACTACTATTATTGTTAAGTTGGAAGGGACCTTGGAGGTCATCTGGTCCAACCCCTTGCTCAGGCAGGGAACCCTACACCATTTCAGACAAATGGTGTCCAGTCTCTTCTTAAAACAGTGTCGGAGCATTCACCGCTTCTGGAGGCAGGTTGTTCCACAGGTTAATTGTTCTTACCGTCAGGAAATTTCTCCTTAGTTCTAGATTGCTTCTCTCCTTCGTTAGTTTCCATCCATGGCTTCTTCTCCTGCCTCCAGGCACTTTGGAGAGTGGCTTGACTGCCTCCTCTTTGGGGCAGCCCCTGATATACTGGAAGACTGCTACCCTGTCCCCCCTCATCCTTCTCTTCATTAAACTAGACATACCCAATTCCAGCAACCGTTCCTTATATGCTTTAGCCTCCAGTCCCCTGATCCTCTTTGTTGCTCTTCTCTGCACTCTTTCTAGAGTCTTAACATCTTTTTTACATCGTGGGGACCCAAACTGGATGCAGTATTCCAAGTGTGGCCTTACCAATGCTTTGTAAAGTGATATTAACCCTTCACGTGATCTTGATTCTGTCCCTCTGTTAGTGCAGCCCAGCACTGTGTTGGCTTTTTTGGCAGCTGCAGCACACGGCTGGCTCCTATTTAAGTGATTGTCCACTAGGACTCCAAGGTCCCTCTCACAGTTGCTACTATTGAGCAAAGTACCCCCTATACCAGTGGTGGAGAACCTATGGCATGCGTGCCAGAGATGGCACTCAGAGCCCTCTCTGTGGGCACGTGCGCCATGCCCCGGAGATATCAACCATCCTCTTCAACCAGCCGCCCGCGAACTCGCTGAGGTCCCACATGGCCGAATGCATCCCAGCACCCATGCGCTCGCTGGCCTCTGTGTGTGGGGGCCAATGGTGTCAGGCAGCAGCCACCCCGGCCCTGCCTCGCCTTGCCCTGCGACAATGGCACCCCCACCCTGCTTCGCCTTGCCTCATCTCATCCCGCAGGACGAGCCACCTGCCCACCGCCCCACCTGGATCTCCCTGGATATCCGCAACCATGCCCGGCCCCCACAGGCGTCCTTCCCCACGACCAACATCAAGCTGGCCATGCCCACCCATCTGCCATGACCACTGTAGCCACGCCCACCCAGCAGGCCACGCCCACCCGGCACCCAGCGATACATCAGTGGTTTTGGGTTGCAGTTTGGGCACTCGGTCTCTAAAAGGTTCGCCATCACTGCCCTATACTATACCTGCACATTTGGTTTTTCTTGCCTAAATGTAGAACAGTGGTTCTCAACCTTTTTAATGCCGCGACCCCCAACCGGTCGTAAGTCGAGGACTACTCAACCGGTCGTAAGTCGAGGACTACTCAACGGGTGCAGCACCGTTTGCAGAATGGGACTCAACGGGTGGCAGAATGGGACTCAGCAGGGCAGAGACAGCCTGGACAATTCCTATTGGCTTTTGAAAGCCAATAGAATTAGACTCTATTCAAGAGAGTCTCTTATTGGCTTTCAAAAGCCAATAGAATAAAAGGGAGGAGCACAGCTAAGGAAAAGGGGGAAAAAATGGCGGACTGCATTGTTTGGCGACCCCCATGAAATGGTCGTTCGACCCCAAATGGGGTACCGACCCACAGGTGGAGAACCACTGATGTAGAACCTTACTTTTTTCACCGTTGAAAAAAAGGTGAAAAAGGTCCTCACTCGATCAATCAATCAATCAATCCTGAAATAATTGGTTCTTTGGATCCCAAAGTAGTCAGTGCCAATAACTAATTTAGGAAGGTGTCAAAAGCATTTGACTACTTTAACATTACTTAACACCTTTGATCCCTTGCCGATAAGAGGCCGTTTAATATTTCCTTTTTTCCTAAAATAGAAAAAAAGAGAAGATAACAGGGAGTTCTCATGTTACAACCACAAGGGAATCCAAAATTTCTGTTGCTAAGCAAGACAGCGATGAAGTGAGTTTGGCTCCATTTTACGACTTTTCTTGCCCGGTTGTTACGTGAATCCTTGCAACTCTTAAGTTACTCACATGGCTATCTGATTTCCCCATTGACTTTGTTTGTCAGAAAGGTCACAAAAGGGGGAATCATGTGACACCCCTGGGACGCTGCGACCGTCATAAATAGGAATCAGTTGCCGAATGTCCGAATTTTGATCACGTGACCGCGGGGGTGCTGTGACAGCTGTGCGGCAAAGGCTGTGAAGTGTGAAAAACCGTCGTAAGTCACTTTTTTCAGTGCCGTTGCAAGTTCGGACGGTCACTAAATGAATCGTAAGTTGACTGCTTCTATAAACAGTGCCTCTGAAGCAGAAACGGAGCTACATGTGAGGAGATTCCAGGCTGTCCAAAAGTTATTGATTTTCACACAGCGCACCACAAAACAACCAAATTCTGCGACAAAAGCCACTTCCACAGATTGTAGTAGACTGTGGTGTTCGAAAAGCACGGGGATGATGGATGATGCTGTGACCCGAAGTCGTTCCTAAAACGAGGAACAGGGCGGAAAAGTGGAGTAGAGTTTCTGGTGAGGACCTAGAACAGTGGTTCTCAACCTGTGGGTCGGGACCGCATTTGGGGTCGAACGACCATTTCACAGGGGTTGCCAAACAAGGCTGTCCGCCATTTTTTCCCCCTTTTCTTTGGCCACGCCCCTGGCACCCAATGTTGTATAAGTGGTTGGGGGTCACCACAACATGGGGAACTGTATTATGGGGTTGCGGCATTAGAAAGGTTGAGAACCACTGATCTAGAAGGTGGCAGAGCTAGGACTGAGTCGCTCTCTCTCCTGGAAGTGCCCCAAAGCAGGGGTCAAAAATGTCCAGATGTGTTGGCACGACCACACAATCTAAGCTTACTTGTCTTCACGTCTTCAACACAAGTCTACTGTGTTCCACAACCAAACTTCTCAAGGTTGGCCAAGGTCGCCTCAATCTAGACGAAGTGTCCCAACTCTCGACCGGTGTCTTTCCATGGAAGGTCCTCGGTGGGCTGAGGAACAACAAGAATCAGTGACCGGTCCTTAGATGGAGATGCTGTTCGCTACCTCAGAAGGGTTGAGATAATTATACGGCAGCGAAAGGCGACGGTTCCTCTCCTCGATTTCCCGGGAGATGTTGGCCAGACTTTTTTGGAACATGGCGATGACCTTCTTTGGATTTTCCTCAGTGAAATGTTCCTCAGGGTAGTAGCCCAGGGATCTCTGGAAAGAGATTAAAGAAAACCACGGTGATGTCCCACCTTAGGAGATCTGGAGAACCATCTTCTTGAGAGAAGACGTCTAGGGCAGTGGTTCTCAACCTTTTTAAGCCGCGACCCCCAACCGGTTGTAAGTCGAGGACTACTTAACTAGTTGTAAGTCGAGGACTACTCAACTGGTGCAGCATCGTTTGCAGACTGGGGCTTTTGGCGGGCTCAGCAGGGCAGAGACAGCCTGGACAATTCCTATTGGCTTTGGAAAGCCAATAGAATTCGACTCTATTCAAGAGAGTCTACTCTATTGGCTTTCAAAAGCCAATAGAATAAAAGGGAGTAGCACAGCTAAGGAAAAGGGGAAAAAAAATGGCGGACTGTGTTGTTTGGCGACCCCCGTGAAATGGTCGTTCAACCCCAAATGGGGTCCCGACCCACAGGTGGAGAACCACTGGTCTAGGGTTAGGAGAACCATCAGCCCAAGGGAGATGTTTGAAGATCCCCTTTGGAGGCATATCGGAAAAACTCAGGTGGATCTTCAGCTAACACAACATACGTGCACACCTCAAACCCAAGGATGCACTAAGGCAAATGTTTGTCCACCCCAAGGACAAAACACCCAGACACAAACTGAGCAACGTGGTGTGTGCAGCACAGTGCAGTGAGCCCTGTGCAGATCTGTACATTGGGGAAACAAAACAACCACTTCACAAACCTGCGACGCAACATAGGAGAACAAACCCATCAGGACCAGATTTAGGCATCCATCTGCATTTAAAAGACAAAGGCCACTCTTTCGAAGACAGCAAAGTCCACAATTTGGACAGAGAGGACCGCTGGTTTGAAAGAGGGGTCAAAGAGGCCCATCTGGGTCAAAATTGAACAGCCCTCCCTCAACAGAGAGGGAGGGACATGACACCGTCTGTCTCAAGTCTACAACACGGTCCTTTCAGCAGTCCCAGGAAGGCTCCACACCCATTCCCACCACCCAGGGGACCCTGGGCTCTAATAGCCAAACCATCATTCTCACCTTGTCTCCTCGTTCTCTGCTCAGGAGCCATAAGATGAGCAATGTCTGGCAGCTGGTGCTAACATCTGGCAAGGTCTCCATGATGTCGGCAAATGTCACACTTCCCTTGGACTCTGGGGGAGGTCTTCTCATGGTGGAAGGGTAGTTGGGCATCCAGGCTCCAAAATCAAACTGGAGAAAGATGGAAGTTGGAGGTTAGAGGCCCCTTCAGAGCCAGGAGCATTCCTTGAATGCTGGAAAGGCAAGGTTTTAGAGTTCTTCTCTAGAGAAGATCCAGAAAAGAGAGCTCCGTTGGCTATCTGGGATGTTGGGATGCTTCCTAAAAGTGCAACTTGTAGCTCCATCTCTCAAGTATGGAAAGAGCCAAGGAGCTCCATGTCCAAGCATGGAGTCATCCAAACTGCTCCATCTCCAAGCATGGAGTCGTCTAAGAGCTTCATTTCCGAGCATGGAAACATCTAAGGAGCTTTATCTTCAAGCATGGAGTCATCTAAGAGCTTCATTTCCAAGCATGGAGACATCTAAGGAGCTTCAAGCATGGAATCATCCAAGGAGCTTCATCTCCAAGCATGGGGACATCTAAGGAGCTTCAAGCATGGAATCATCCAAGGAGCTTCACTTCCAAACATGGAGAGATCTAAGGAGCTTTATCTCCAAGCATGGAATCATCCAAGGAGCTTCATTTCCAAGCATGGAGACATCCAAGGAGCTTTATCTTCAAGCATGGAATCATCCAAGGAGCTTCACTTCCAAACATGGAGACATCTAAGGAGCTTCAAGCATAGAATCATCCAAGGAGCTTCACCTCCAAGCATGGAGACATCTAAGGAGCTTCAAGCATGGAATCATCCAAGGAGCTTCACTTCCAAACATGGAGACATCTAAGGAGCTTCAAGCATGGAATCATCCAAGGAGCTTCACTTCCAAACATGGAGAGATCTAAGGAGCTTTATCTCCAAGCATGGAATCATCCAAGGAGCTTCACTTCCAAACATGGAAACATCTAAGGAGCTTCAAGCATGGAATCATCCAAGGAGCTTCACCTCCAAGCATGGAGACATCTAAGGAGCTTCAAGCATGGAATCATCCAAGGAGCTTCACCTCCAAGCATGGAGACATCTAAGGAGCTTCAAGCATGGAATCATCCAAGGAGCTTCACCTCCAAACATGGAGTCATGTTTATTAAACTCCTGTTTCATGCGTACGGTGAGATTTCCAGCAATCTGATATCATCCCGATATCTTGGTTTACCTTCCGTAATATCTAGCCAGAATGCGGAGCCTAGGGTTGGAGAAAAGGGGCAGAAGGAGGGTCCATCCCACCTCCCATAGAGTTAAGGAAGAAGAAGCCTCCAAACCTGGGTATTGTTGACACTGGCATGGCGGACTGAACAGGTGAAGACCATCATGGTCAGATACTTGGTTAACTCAGCAATAGTTCCTAGATGTGCAGGAAAACCTGGAAGAATTAAAAAAAAAAATTGGTGGGATGGGATTACTTATTTATTAAGAAAATTTATATGGCTGCCCAACTCACGTTGACGCCAGGAAAAACCCTCAATGCAAGCCCAAAGACCCCCCCCCCAAACCCTCCTGGTGACAAGAATTGACCCCACCCCTTGAAGGCGTCCATATCACTTTGAGGTCTCTAGGCCCGTTGTCAAAACCACGTCTTCAGGGCTTTTAGAAAGAGTCTCAAGGTGGGGGCCAATCTTATCTCCACAGAGGTGATGTTCCACAGGGAGGGAGCCACCACGCAGAAGGCCCTTCTTCCTGGTCCCACCCAGATGGACTTGCTTAAAAGAAGGGACCCCTAACACCCCCTGCCTCCCCATTCTGGTGGGTCACCCAGATGTAACTGGGAAAAAATGGCCCTTCAAATAACAGGGAGGGAGTCACCACAGAGAAGGCCCTTCTTCCTGGTCCCACCAGATGGACCCACCCCTTAAGAGATGGGACCCCTAACACCTCCTGCCTCCCCATTCTGGTGGGACACACAGATGTAACTGGGAAAAGAGGTCCTTCAGATAACAGAGAGGGAGCCACCACGGAGAAGGCCCTTCTTCCTGGTCCCACCAGATGGACCCCCCCCCTTAAGAGATGGGACCCCTAACACCTCCTGCCTCCCCATTCTGGTGGGACACACAGATGTAACTGGGAAAAGACGGTCCTTCAAATAACCTGGTCTTAAGCCATGTAGGGTTTCAAAGGTGTCAACTAGCACCTTGAATTGTACCTGGAAGCAGATGGGTAAACGATGCAGCTCCCGTAAGACAGGGGACGCGTGCAAATCTAAGATTTGCACCTAACTACGCAACGATTGTGTTTTGAACCAATCAAAACCTCCGGATGCTTCTGAAAAGCCACCCCGTGTCGAGGTATGGTCTAAAACAGGGTTGTCCAATTGTACCGACTCGAAGACTTGTGGACTTCAACTCCCACAATTCCTCCTGCCAGCTCTTTTTTTTTCTCTTCACTTTGCTGAAGTCAAGGTATATTACGCCGACCGCATTCCCGCTCTCTATTAAGAAAGTCATCCGATCAAATCCAGTAGCCCAATCATCGCATTTGTCCGTTGTCCTATCCGCGCTGAATTCTGGTTGGACCCCGTGCTAGGCTGGGGGATTCTGGGAGTTGAAGTCCACCAGCCTGACAGTTGCCAGGATCGGACACCCCCGGATCAAATTGCGGTGCGCCATTCTTGATTTCACTCCCTCGATCATAGGAAGCCATGTTGGATTTGAGTGAAAAGGATTTTTACCAGAGGATTGCCGGTGATGGAAACACTTTTCAAAGATTTCAGCCACCCAGGCCTGCAGCTCCATGTCCTTCTCCACAACTCCGTCGCTCGGGTAATAGAGACCGACCATTCCAGACACAAAGCTGGAGGAACGCAAGCGCCATCAATCCCGGGATACGAGAGAAAAAAACTGGCATTTGCTAAGTGGCAGGAACTTCTGATCAACCAACGTACTGTGGAAAAGCTAAGAAGCCTTTAGGCCAGTGGTTCTCCACCTGTGGGTCGGGACCCCATTTGGGGTCGAACGACTATTTCACAGGGGTCGCCAAACAATGCAGTCCGCCATTTTTTCCCCCCTTTTCCTTAGCTGTGCTACTCCCTTTTATTCTATTGGCTTTTGAAAGCCAATAGAATAGACTCTCTTGAATGGAGTCTAATTCTATTGGCTTTCAAAAGCCAATAGGAATTGTCCAGGCTGTCTCTGCCCTGCTGAGCCCGCCAAAAGCCCCATTCTGCAAATGGTGCTGCACCCGTTGAGTAGTCCTCGACTTACGACCGGTTGAGGGTCGCGGCATTAAAAAGGTTGAGAACCACTGCTTTAGGGAAAAATTCTATCCGCTGCTAGGTATTAAATCTGAGCTATGTTTATGCCGATATTGGGCCAGTCAATATTATTTTTCATTTATTAATTATTTTTAGAGCCCCCCCCATCTCAACCAATGGTGTCTAGTTTAACGAAGAGAAGGACCAGGGGGTGACATGATAGCCGTGTTCCAACATCTCAGGGGTGGCCACGAAGGAGAGGGAGAAGCCATTCTCCAAAGCCCCTGAAAGCAGGACAAGAAGCAACGGATGGAGACTCATCAAGGAGAGAAGCAACCTAGAACTAAGGAGAAACTTCCTAACCAGGAGGACAATTCACCAGTGGAACAACCTGCCTCAGGAAGTTGTGAATGCTCCAACACTGGAAGTTTTAAGAAGAGATTAGACAATTGTTTGCCTGAAATGGTCTAGGTCTAGCACAGTGGTTCTCAACCTTTTTAATGCCGCGACCCCCAACCGGTCGTAAGTCAAGGACTACTCCACCGGTCGTAAGTCGAGGACTACTCAACTGGTGCAGCCCCGTTGGCAGAATGGGACTTTTGGCGGGCTCAGCAGGGCAGAGACAGCCTGGACTATTCCTATTGGCTTTTGAAAGCCAATAGAATTAGACTCTACTCAAGAGAGTCTCTTCTATTGGCTTTCAAAAGCCAATAGAATAAAAGGGAGGAGCACAGCTAAGGAAAAGGGGGGGAAAATGTCAGACTGCGTTGTTTGGCGACCCCCGTGAAATGGTCGTTCGACCCCAAATGGGGTCCCGACCCACAGGTTGAGAACCGCTGGTCTAGAAGATCTCCACTGTAACTTCCAACTCTGTTATTCTGTTATTCCTTCTCCATTCCATCTATTCTATTCTATTCTATTCTATTCTATTCTATTCTATTCTATTCTATTCTATTCTATTCTATTCTACTCTACTCTACTCTACTCTACTCTACTCCACTCCACTTTACTCTACTCTACTCTACTCCATTTTGCTCTGCTCCGCTCCACTTCATGCTACGCTGCTCTGCTCTACTCTACTCTACTCTACTCTACTCTACTCTATTCCATTCCGCTCCGCTCCATTCTGCTCCACGCTACTCTACTCTACTCTACTCTACTCTACTCTATTCCACTCCATTCCACTCCACTCCACTCCATTCCATTCCATTCCATTCCATTCCATTCCATTCCATTCCATTCCATTCTATTCTATTCTATTCTATTCTATTCTATTCTATTCTATTCTATTCTATTCTATTCCACTCCATTCCACTCTACTCTACTCCATTCCGCTCCGCTCCACTCCGTTCTGCTCCACGCTACTCTGCTCTACTCTACTCACTCTACTCTACTCTACTCTACTCTACTCTACTCTACTCTACTCTACTCTACTCTACTCTATTCTATTCTATTGACTCTGCATGAATTAACTGCTCTTACCCATCAAGGCTTACTGTATGTTAATCATAGTTTAATAAAACAGAC